ATTTTTAATATAAAAGAATCAAAGTGTACGCTATTATATTTTTCATCGAAATGAATGAAAGATGTAAATCTCTCTTTACATAATTTTTTCTACTACTTTATGTCGATGCATGCGGCTTATCTTTTACGTGCAAGCTCGTTAATGCCACCGTACGTACGCGGAACAGTATGATCCTGCAATGGGCACCTACGTTACGCAGTTAGTTGGCTCGACCATGCCAAGGTTGGGAACCTTATCTAAGTTTCAAGGTGTTTGACCCAACTGGGAAAATGCATTGGCACTCGGGTGGCTTTGCATCACCACGGCTGCTCGCGACCGAACCGCTTAAAGCACTGTTCACAATTTGCTTTCCTTATCGACCGGAGCGATATAAGTGTGCGCTATAAATGCGGATTTTATTATTCCTGGTCGCGGAGATGGAATGTCGATATTAACTCTCTCACCATCAAGAAATGCACTTCTTCCGTCGTCTCTTAATCTCACGTGAAACAATACAATTTCATTCTCAAGTATATTCGATTTTTATAAAAATTTATAGAAACAGAGATAAAAAATCACATTTTAATTGTATTGAATTATATTTTATTAGCTTAATAATAATTTTTTGGGGGAATATTTTTAGCGGAAATGTATTAATTCTATGTTGTTCCATGATGTTTATACTAAATTCAATGATATGTTGATCGAGAGAGCGGCCCTTGAGCGATACGAATTGAATTCGCGTGAGAAACGCGCAGAGATATAAATCGCGCCGAATTAATTTACGTAAAATATTGAGCCGATCAAAACAACACTCCCGGCCGTTCTTCGCCAATGTTACTCTTCGCAGATCGCTGCGCGGCGCGTCGATAAGTAATTGCATCCAATTTCTCTGGAATTCGCTTTTGGGCCAAGTGCCGCGACGATGGCACCGCGCATCTCTTTCGTGCATCTCTCTCCTCTCGCTCGCCGAAATTTATCATTCGCCGTTTTTCATCTCGTCCCTCTGAAAATTCGCGAATCGCTCTGCGTTCCCAAGGATTCGCAAATTTTCCCCATGTCTTTTAGCATCTCTTTGACATTTATCCTCCGCGATATTTTTAATAATCGACTAGTTGCAAGGGAAATTCTCGCGCAAAAATTGGTCTTTTCCCAAGTGATCGATAGATCGACTTCTCGAGCAATTTCGTGTATTTCCTTCTGGCCGACTTTATAATTCGATTGATCACGATTGAAGCGTGTCGCATCTCTCACGAGATGTATGCGGCCGTTTCGTTTCGGACGATTGCGATGGTATCGCATTCCAAACGAGAGAGAGAGAGACTCCAGATACTTTAGCCGGGACTGTCGCGTGTCTCGGGACGACGCGTTATTTTTCTCTCATCCGTGTTTACACACGCTCCCGTGCAAACACCTTGCCGTATCGCTCTGCGCTCTGCGATTGGTATGCGATTGGGAAGGTCGACACTCGAGATCTGCGTACGCTGCAAACGATAAATATCTGCGGCCGACTCCGCGTTTTAACCATTAGATTCGCTCACGCGCGAACCCTTCCCGAGAGATTTATTTTATTGCTTTATTATTTCATAACACATGCCCTCATAAACTCGTGCGCGACTTGCCGGAATTATATTTTGTCAAATATTAAAAATTTATTTTTCATGGGGATGTTGGAACGATTAAAAATTTATCGCCATTTTTTGCATTATTTGTAACATGTAGAATTTGTAGCGGCAAATATTCTGGAAAATTTAGGTCCCATTGCCAGATATTAATCACTGCGTTGGGCAAATATGAGAATGATTGGTGAGATTTTTTCTTTATCATGGTCAAACTTTGTAACAAGTATGATTAATGTCAACATGGGTAGATGCCACAGAAAGACTATCTTTCTAAATTTCACCAGCGGTTCAGATATAAATTTTATCTCTGTTATTTAGATTAAGAGCAAAACATACGCGATATCGTGCTATTTGTTAATCATTTATCTACCTCGGTTAATTTTTTGTATCCAGAAAATTATTTCTACAGATGATTTTTTTCGAGTAATTGGAACGAGATTCTCTCAAAATGAGAATCGAGTCGTATTTCAATTCTCAGATTAACACGCTGGCACATTAACACGTTAAATACGTATCATTAGATTATCTCGTAAAAGCATTTCGTGCCTCTCTCTTTCCGTCTTCGTGGAATCAACCTTTTACACAGTTGGAAGAATTAGTCTGGCAGCGGGTAATTTTCGCCGGCACCGATTCATTGAGAGGTTTTTCTCAAGCGGAGATCCTTGGAAACGAGAGCGGTTATGAAAATAAAAGACCGCGGATACACGTCTCTAAGAGACAGCCAGACGAAATGATACGCCTCTCCTTCTCTCTCTCTCTCAACGCTGAGAAAACGAGGACACTTAAGAGACGCGGCAAGCTGCAGTCAATTTCATAATTGCTTCTTTATCGCGATCTTCAGAGAACCGACAGAATTGCTTTATTACAGGGCTTTCAGTCTGCTTCCAATTTTCCAAGCACATGCGTCGCACGCGCTGCTCGCCGCCTCGCGATGGCGTGGCCCACATTTAGTGACTGCGTTTATTGTATCGCGACCGAATAAGAGATCGCAGGATGCACCTCGCGCATTAGTGACGTACAGTGACGAGAGGATCCTTTGCTTTAACGAGGAATGTAGCTCGCTACAAATTTAATCAAATTTATCGATCAAATTGTCCACTAGTTATTTGCTTTAGCGTCTCAACATCGAGACATACGACGCTCTTCCGCTCTAGTGTCTGCATGATTTTTGATAATTGTTGCGAGACACGGCGTATATATTTATCTCGCGTCTGATTTTTAATCCGATAATAACTCGATGGACGAAATAAAAGGCGCAGCGGTGATCAGTCATCAGGAATTGCTAAGAGACTGCAGACGATCGCAGATAAACATGAAAATTCGACGGGGTCGACGACGACGGCGACGACGGCGGGCGACGCGACAGGCGTCCTTGCTCCAACCACTCGCGCTACTACCGATGACGTAATCGTCGCGATACCCCGCAATCTTGGCGCCGCGGTAAACTCGTAATATCTATTTTTATCTGTGGTGGAAGCAAAAGGGGCCCCTCCCGAGTCCCTCGTCTCACTGACTGCGCTCTCTCTCTTTCTCTCTCTTTCTTTCTTTCTCTGTCTTCGTGTGGACGCCACACACGCACGAGAACACGTATTGAGTCGTAAAGATCGAGAGAGAAAGAGAGAGAGAGCCGAGTCGAGCCAAGCCTCGATGTCCGAGGAGACTCGAAATCGAACGACGTTTATTGCGGTCGAGATAAGAACGTGCTTTTCGTGTTTTCATGCACAACCAAGTTTCTGATCTGGCGTCCCGAGCGAGTTCTCGAAGTTAATGTTTGATTAGCTCGGCGAGACCGGTCATTAATCGGCTTACTAATCATCGGCAAGAGCGAGTAGCGAGAACGTGGAAGCTGTCTTCAACAGCTGTGCACTAGGTGACGCGAAGCTTGCCGACTCGAAAACACGTTTCGCGATATTGAAGCATTGTGACGCAATAAAACGTAAAGGAAAGAGATCGAAATTATACGAATTAATTTACGTCCAAGTATTTAAGTTGCGTGAATAATAATTAATTTGATATTTAAATAATAACTATTTAAAAAAAGATTCTTTTTTTTATCTATTTTCTAAATTAAATCATCTATTAAATTATTGGCAGTATACAAATTTAAATGACTCGTAATGATTGGAATATTATAATAATCATCTGACGCGTTACAAAAAATATCATGTCAGTATATATTTGCATAATCATTTCATCTCATCTTATCATTTTTTAAGCTTAAAATAGACTTGGATTCATACACACACACACATCTCATATAATGTAAAATATAAAAACTATATTATATTAATGCAATCACATTACGCATATTTATTTCTTGCTATCTCTTCTTTTCTTTCTTTCTTTTAAAATGAAATTTAATATCTCTCGCAATCTAATGCAATATATCATCTCTGTATAATATAAAATAATATAAATAGAGTATAATATAAAATATAATATTAAATATATTAAATATAATATTAATATTAAATAGTAAATATTAATATTAATTTAACATTAAATATTATAATTTATTATAATTTCTTTTATATTATTATAATTTATTTTTAATACAAAATTTTATTTAATATTAAATATTAAAAGAATATAAAAATTTGAAATATTAAAAACTTTTGATAACGATTTTCGATTTTAATTAATTTTATATCATTATTTCGGATTTGTGTAAAATGAGACAATCCATACTCGATTGCTATGCGCCCTATGCTTTCCGTTCTCACGAATCCTTTTACGTTCGCTCGACCGGACTCGTCCAGCCCGCAGGATCTGGCGCCGTCTCCAGACGACGCCATCGGAGATGCCGTAACCGGCGACAGCGTGGGACTTTCGCCGGCAACCGGTCCTTTGTAATATCGCCCAGAATTTCTTCTCTCGTATAAACCTCTTTACCAGGAAGAAAGCCCTATCGTTAACAAAGGATCTCGCTCCGGGGAGTCCTTTATCGCGGATGACAAATTTTCGGAAAATCGAGCATTCCAACCGTAGAACGGAAGTATCACTGCACTAAATGTGACCAAGAAGAAAACGTAGAACTATAAAAATCCGGATACGTATTAGAGAAAGATTACGATCTAGTCAAATATTTTAATTATCTCCTCTCGTTAAGATGAACGAGAGTTTTGAAGCACCACATTTCCCTTTCCCGGCTTCTAATCCTTATATATTTTTTTTATTTCGAAAAGAAAAATTCATCACGTCCAACTTTAATGCCAATTGCTTTCTAATTTGCCAACGATGAGAAATTTTTGTTTTGAGACGAAGATTGACACAGACACGAGATTAACATATCGCGCAACCCTTGCTAGAATAACGATAATGTCATTTGTAAATATATCTGCTGTGAAGAAGAGAATGATGTAATGTTTATCTTTCTCCTTTCTTATCTGCTGTCCACAGGTGAGACGGGGCAGAGGGAATGGTGCACCCTGGCGTACTGGGAGCTAGGCGGTCGAGTGGGTCGTCTGTATCCCGTGGAGCCGTCAACAGTGAACGTCTTCGACTCGCTCCATGACGGCGATGGCCTCTGTCTGGCGACTCTGACCGAGAATCACAATGCACTGCCCACGGTCCAACGTACGCGCAGCAAAATCGGCCTCGGTAAGGATCTTGTGTGTCTACAATTTTTTAATCTACATTTTATCTTTAAAGAATGCTGCTCTTTGTGTTTTCTGCTTTGCTTCAAAGATCGTTTATTCATCTCATGTCTCTTTTGAGGCTATATATTTAGTTATTATAAAAGATTATTTGATAACAATTAATTTATTAAATATAATTTATTAAATATAATTATTAAATAATAATTAAAATGTAATTATTCAATAATATCATTATGTATCTTTTCAGTTCTCATTTATGTTATACACATATAAGTAAAGAGAAATATATATTTAAATGCAAGACTAAATTCGTTAATATGATCTTTATAACAAAACAATATTTTTTTATTTATTAAAAATAATTTTATTAAAAATAAATTGCGCAATAAATAATTAAACATTGTTTCGCACAGTATTGACTTGTTTATAAAATTACGTGGACATAGTGCATTTTCATGACGAATCCATTTCCTACATTTTCAGGACTAACGCTCAGTCAGGAAGCGGACGGTGTATGGGCGTACAATCGGTCAAAGAGTCCAATCTTCGTGCACTCACCCACCTTGGACGAACCGGAATCGAGGACCCTGCTGGTTTACCGGGTGCCATCGGGTTTCTGTCTCAACATCTTCGATCGCGCCAAGACTCTGCAGCTTCCATATAACGGCGGTGGCGGTGGCGGTAATGGTGGCCAGACCGCCGGATTTGCCGCTTCCGGCCCCGTCGACATTAACTCCGTCCGCATCAGCTTCGTCAAAGGCTGGGGACCCAAGTACTCGCGACAGGAAGTCACCTCCTGCCCGTGCTGGCTCGAAGTCCTCTTGGCGCCGTGTAGGTGATCGTCCCCCAGGCTAGCCGGGCCGAAAGGATATTGTCAAGTCTCGTCCCAAACCCGCTCTTCTTCCTCCTCGTTGTCGTCGTCGTTATTGTTGTTGTTGTGCTCGGGGAAGATCGCTGATAATGATGCGACCGTGGCCTTTAGCTCCGTCCTAACGAGAGCTGTGTTAATAATGACTAAATGAAACGAAAAAAAAACGTGCCGGGGGCGACCGCCAGCGACATGTGCTGGGGTTGCCCCAACAACCCCAAGCAGTCTTACCAAAGTACACGCCGTAAAAATAATACGTCTAAGGAACAACGTCGCGTTCCGTTTCGACAGTAGAACGAGAGGTAGAAACGAAGATCGGAAATCGTTCGCCGAGCGTGTTTATCGAGCGCGTACGAACGGAGGAATTTACATTAACGAGTGGTACATGGGATTTTTCTTACGAAACGTGTGTTTGATTCGATTAATTTTTTTTATTCTCGATAATTTAGGATCGTCGATGTTACTCTCGAGATTCATGTGAGAATTTTCGACAAGGGAAGCGGAGAGTCGGGCTTCCGATAGGTCTAGTCACTTGCGTTTATGGTCTGCATGCGCCGATTCACGAATTCGCGTGCATGGATTCTGAATTCAACATGGCAGGGGAAATTCTTAGTCTTATAAAGATGAAACATGAAGCAAAGAATAATATCGACAAAGAGGTATGCAGGTCAAATATTTTTTACAATTTTGCTCCGTTTTTTTTTTCCAAAAGTGATTACTAAGAAAGATTTTTTATCAAATATTCAATAAAGCTTCTTAAGATAGTCGATATGTGTAATATATAAAAAAATTAAATATTTAGCCACTTTTAAATAATTTCGATAAATTATTATGAGAAAATTATTCTCTCTTTGTTGTAAATTTAAGCTTCGCAAACTCGTTATAATTCGTAGAATTTATGTTACTGAAAACAAAAATTAATTAATATATTTATAATTAATTTATATATTTATGAGATTAATATGTAAAGTTATAAAAAATGATTACGTGTTTAATATGCATTTAAATTAGTTTTTATGGAAATTAAATATTTTCTATATACAATTTTTATACAAATTTGTAAGAAATATAATATCATTATTTTTTTAAAGTATGAAAAATATTTTAAAGTAGGACTTTAAATATTATAATATTTATTAGTATAATATTTAATATTATATTTAATATTATATTATTTAATAAATATAATATATTTTTAAATAAGATCAATAATTAAAATTAGGCTTAAGTGCAATTCTTAGATTGACTATGATGCAACATCTACAACTTGGCAACATTATTTGATGGATACAACTTAATAGTCGAAAAAAAATTTGTCAAATCATGAGGCCTTTTATCGATAAGACAAATTCTTCAATTGCATTTGTACTGTGCTCTAATTGTTTCTTTTTGCTAAAAAATCCAAAGACAAGGACTAAAATTTGTAATATTATCGTTTTGTATTTCTCGACTAATATATGTTGCATTAACTGCATTTAGCTTCATTTAAGCATAATTTTAATTATTCATTTGCATCATAGATGTTGATTTGACTATTTCAAATAATATTATTTTTATTAATTTGAGTGCTTCAGTAACATAAGTTCTATAACAAGTCACGAGATAGTACTGGAATCGAGTAGTTGCGCTATTGATTAATGTTAAAACAAAACGTGCCACGAGTTCTGAAAGTGTTATCTCCGGTCGTCGTTCGGTGCTGTACATACGTATAGTATATGTACATACACTGTGCCTTCCCAGCTTCCCTCCGCGGTGCAGCGCGTACTCTCGGGAAATAGAAGTGCGCCACGTGCCAAGCTCGTTTCGCACGAAAAATATAATGTCTCCTCCTCCTTTTTCTCCGGAGCTTTGTACTACAGTAATACAATGTACTGTGATAACAGTTCGACACAAGTTTTTTGTTTTTTCTTCCCTTTTTTTACGATTGACGCGTTGCGAAGACGAGAGAGAAACAATGCAGAACGAAATACGTATAATGATTAAACAGAGGAGATTCTGCACATCGAAAATGAGAGAAACGATGTCATTAATTTTGCGAAAATTATTTCCTCGACTTATCGCATTAATTGTTGAAACATTTCTAAGTGAAAAATAACTTCTGTGTTAAAGCTTTCTTTTTTCTGTAAAAAAATTTATATTTCTGGTTTTCGACATGCAGAAATTTTTCTCAGAGAAATTGTACACGAGATGCATATATACGATATGCAAACTTTTTTTTTTTATATATACTCTGTAAATACGAATCGATTTTGAAAGAAGAAAAGAGCGATACATAGTGTTCAGAATAATAATGTTTAAGTACATACGATATATAATATGTACCAGTCATATGTATTCATTTACACTCACATACGCAATACATACATACATACATAAATATATATATATACACACACACACACACACACATACAATTGACTGATCGATCCGTAGGGTTTTTTCGACCATTAGTTTACTTTCGTACTACCGCTTTTATCGATGTAAAAGTGGCCGTTACTTTGTAATGATAATTGAACGAATGAATAGCTACGAGAACGTTATATTGTGATGTGTATACGCCGCTTGAATGTTATATATTATTATGTATACAGAGACGTATACGCAAAAATGTTCATAGGTAGCTAACTGTGTCAGAGGAAAAGAAGGAAATAGATTGAAAGGGAACGAAAATCGGCTTAGATTATCGGCGAAAATAATTGTAACGACGATAAGAGGAATTCCGCCGACAGATTATTCACTCTGAGCGACTTGCTTTTCATAGTCCCTTTTTCACTGCCCCCAACACGTTGTGGTCGAGATCTATTTAACCGTCTCCTTTTGCCGCAATTAAGACCGAACGCACTGCTGCTTGTGCACTGCTTTGGAATGCGTTTAAAAAAATTATATTACATATATACGTTGTCCGCGCGATGTACAAGATGGTATTTAATGATTTAATCCGAGACATGTCCGCATCTTCTCAAAGGAATTTAAGTTATCTCCATGTCATCGTTTTGAGCTCGAGGTACTAATATTTGTTTCAACGATCTTTGTCTCTTTATAAATATATTTCTCATCATTAATTTTGCTAATATATTTGACAATGATATTTTTATAATGTTTTAATTTTCATTAAAGTTGCAATAATTAAAAAAAAAGATAATATAATAGAAATAATTAATTGTAAAATGTGCATCAAAGATAATGCAGCAAGATTCATACTACGTCCAATTTTCAAGGGGAATTTGTTTTATATAAAACGAACTCTGTTGTATATCACATGTTGAAAATTGGACGGATAATATAAATCCTAGATGACACAATGAATAATACAAGACAGTGACTCAATTTATAATGTTAAATATAATTTGTGTTGAGATTTGCAAATTGATCATTTGTATACGTTGACATATACAAATGTATAATGATTCGTGCGAATATTTGTATCTCATGCTCGCTATATCGCGCTTAAGCATTCAAAAGGGAGCATACACGGCCGTAGCGCATTAAGAACAAAAAGGAACTTACGAAGGCGTACTAAAATTAATGGTAAGACTGTCCTACGACGTAAATACCACGACCGAGCGCTTCTTCTCTCCTGAAATGCCTGTCGTAGTAAATGCGAGAGCGATTTTTCCTCCGTTTAAGGAATTTAAAGGAAGAAAAGATTCACGCTCGTGCAAAAATACGAAAGAAATTCAAACGCGATATAATTTCTGAGGAGATTTTTCTAAGAAAGGAAAAAAAAGATTGATAGCTTATAGATTTTCCAATAGTAAATTTGCAATAATAAATTTGTTTAATAATTGAAAAAAAGGATAAAAAAGAAGTAAGCACTCATTCATAGATCTTTTTTCGATCTTCTCAGTCTTTTATATTTTTTGTGAATTTAAATTTTTTATTGGAGCTTTATTTACGTCTGTTAAATTCAGTGATTTTTATATAATAGACTATCATAATCATAGTTTTTAATATCAAAATCTTTTTGATATTCTTTATGTTGTTCTGCTTTTCGATCTTTTTCAAAACGTCCGGTATAGAAATATTATTTATAGATTGTATTTGTACACATTCAGAAAATGCAAAGAAATTTTAATGGAAGATTTTTGCGTGAATTTCTTGTAGTGTCATAAAATGACCGGACATACGAAAATCTAAGTTAATTTTAGAAGGAAGCTCAGATGCGTGTAAATAATATAATATATATGTCTTCGATGAAGATTTTTCTCAGATAAGAAAAGTTAAATACATATGTTGTATACATTCGTAAATTGCGTGAAACATTTTTGCATTTCGATTGAAAACATAGATTCATGTAATGCATGGATTGTCTTCTTTCACTTCACCTTTATTCGTTCTGCGTTATTTTCCCTTACATCTTCCCTTCGCGCTTCATCATCTTCTATTTTTCTACAATCTTCATTTTCCATTTTTCATTCAAGTCTTGACGTTCTGTTTTATTTTTTTTTCGAGATTATTGACAGCAAACCTTTTTATTTGAAAAATGACTTTTGATTTTTATATTTTATATCGCATCCCATTATTTTTAATTCATTTGATATAAAAGTTTAGAGTCTCCGGATTTTGTGATATAATATTACTTTTGTATCATTTCGTAAGGAAAATTATTACATCAGTAAATGGCTGTCTATCCGAAGCGCGTCAAGCAAGACTGAGGTTTCCGATTATAAAAATAATATATCCTTACGCCTGTATATCCGAATTGCGAGATTTATCTCAAACGAAATGATTGGCGACAGCCAATTATAAAAGAGCCGGCCACTTGTTTGACGAGTTACCGTTTCTCTCGGACGACGCGACGTGCCATTATCCAGTAGTAGTAAAATAACGAGAGTAATAACACTAATGTTAACGACCGAACGACAATTAGAGCTGTTTTCTAGCGTTTTACTAACTCTCAACTGCTATCGGCCGATCGACCACTCCACGTGTCTTTGTGGGGGCTAGGTTTAAATAATCTTTAAACCGTAGTTATACACATATACACATGCAATACGAAAGTTCCTCGTTAGCGAGATTAGATGCCTTCGAGCCAATTAATTCACCACGTTTCCGAGTTTGACTGAAACTTTTTTTGCTTGGAGGGGAGAAAAATTATGCGACAAAATGAGAAGAATTTGCCATTGAAAATTGAGCAAATAAACGAATGAAGGCAGCTAATTTCTCTATAAGGACTCTACGTCTGTGAAACATAGTGCCTTTACATAGCCGTTCACTGTTACATTAAATTAATTAGTGTTTAGAGCGACAGACTTAGCGATTATCACGCGTATCGATAAAAAACTAACTTGTTGATAGGTAAGCGCTTTATCGGCATCGGTACGGTATTACTGCCCCTCTGCTCGTATGTATTTTTCCTCCTTTCAAATTTGTTGATTTTCTCTCTTCTTCTTTTTTATTTTTCAGATTGATATATACAAGAATGATATATATATATATATATATATATATATATATATATATATATACCAGATGGGAACTTTCATAAAAAAAAGAGAGGAAAAGAACTTTGATACATTTAAATAAATTTCCGCAATTCCTGCCGTATCTTACGTTTTAGAGATACGCTTTATACATCCGTTAGGATGTAATGAATAAAGAAATAGTGCCTTACCACGAGATATTGTGCTTTTCGAAAGTTCAAAAAGTCGGAGAGAAAAGAGAGTGTTCTAAAAATGAGCAACTTTTAGATATTTCCCTTTCAGTCGTATCTTAAATTGTAATCTCGCAAAATTGATAAAACGCATCGTTTTTTGCCGTCAAAGAGAATTTACGTATAAAAAAAATCGATCGTTTCGCCGGAAATCATTGCGAGTTCGTCGACGAATTTGGAAACACGAAATGATTTAAAAGAGACAGTTTCTATTCCTAGTAGGAAGGAATCCTGCAAAACTTATTGATACCCAGACAGCACACATGTCCAAAAGACATCTAAAAGACAACTTAAAGACATCTTAAATCCTTCAGACATCTTTAAGACATCTTTTGGCCTTTTTGTGCTATCTGGGTACTTTTCACAATATTTCGAAAAATGTTATATAAACCTAAAAGAATATTTTTTAATATTTTTTAATGACATAAGCATGTTTGTTTATGCATATTATATTTTCGAAATTCGTCGATATAAAAATAATGAATACTCCTTTGCTCGACGATCTCGTATGATTTCCGAATTGAAATCGACGAGCGAAAGTTTGAAGATACATCGTTTATTTAATATATTTATAGATAAAAGAGCCTTCGATAGTGGCTACCCCAATTCCTCATTTTCGAATCACGCGCAATAAGATATACGCTAAACAAAATATATATTAGATATGCATATTATTACATATAATTGATGCACGGAAGACGAATCGAAATGAAATAAGCAACGCGTTGCTGTATATATTGTACATAAAGTAAGTACGCATGTGCGCGCACATATGCATACGTTATACATACTATGTATATATTATATATTATGTCGTCGGCGACGACGATAATAATGAATAACGAATGGTAGTAATAATAATTATAATAAAGAAAGCAGATATCGAATAAGTGCGAATAGCGTAACGGAATAACGATATATTATTAGGTACCACACACCCTGAGAACTCACAATATATATTATTTTCAATATCATTGTATTCGATTCCGAAATCAAGTAACACACGCTTACTAAGCGACGATCGTGTGTCGACGATCAAGGAAATCCTCTCCACTCATTTTTACGAGAAAAAGAAAATATATGAAATTGCAAATTTGTACCCGATGCGTTTTTAATGAAACACCAATCATACCACAAGTCCTACTATAAATCTCCATGTATGATATATATAAGTGCTATTTTATATATTATATTTATTATACTCAATTAAATTATTTTACATTTTCCTTGGCAAACAACATGCAAACATATTTGCTCAGAATATTTAGCATAATTTTTGAAAAATGGAAAAAGATTGCGATAAATATATACTCTTTGAGAAAAAGTTAATTGTAATAGATAATATATAAATATGATAATAATATAGATTTCCAGTTTTTATATGATACATAATGTTTATAATGTCACCGGAAGATGATCGCAGTTTAATACATACTTTATAATATAAGGTAGGTAGATGCTCTAAAGGCATCGGGTGATTAAATCCTGAAACTCTTGTAGCTTGCCATAGGAAATGATACTTGAACCTCTTAGAAGCTGCCAGATAAGTATTTTCCGTTCACTACCATGATTAATGCGTAAACTTGTAAAGTGCATCAGTCTGTTTCTCCCCTCTTTTCCTTCCTCTTCAACGATGTAATACAACACTAACATTTCCCGGATCGTTGTGCTGCTTTTTTCGCGGAATTGGACATCGATAAATTAAAATATCTTCTCTATCTCTCTTTCTCTTTCATTTTATTTTTAACATTTAATATTAACAACTTTTATTTCAAATTCTAACACTGTCGCAACAAAGATCGTTTTTACTCTTCTTTCATTACTAATCGAAACATGCATTCAAAACTACGCAACGTATTACATTCCACACGGATATACGAAATGTACAGTATAATTTAATATAATTTAATAAAATATTTCTATAAATATTATAATTTAATAAAATATTTCTATTAAAACGATTATATATATTTACAAAGAGATATAATTTGATCGACAATCTCTCATTAGATATGAATATTCGTTATATCATTGTTCAATAAAATCAAAACAATTCATCAATGAATTTAATGATAAAAAATAGTTTATTATGTATCATTCAAAATTCTTTATCCAAATAAACGTCGTGTATTTCTCGAAATAAATTTAATAAACTTAAAAAATAAATCTCTAATTACGATTTTACTGAATATTGATATAAAATACAAGTGTGAGAAAATTTGAATATAAACTTAAAACCGAGAATTTGTCGATTGATGCTGATAATTATTATTTACAGATTGTATAAGCACTATCATATATATATATATATATATATATATATATATATATATATATATAATAAATTTTATACAAATGTCACAGCGCGTAAAAAAGTAACATGGAACACTTTATTTGACACTTTGGACTTTTCTTCAAGTTTAACATTCCTCTTTTCCTGACTTCTTTTCTTTACTCGGAATGAAAAAGGACAGCAATCCGCCAACTGAAGAGAATAAATTCTTTATTTTAATTATTATCTTTTTTACTTTTTATTTATCTTTTATTTATCATTTTAATAAGTCTCTGCTATTCTTTTCTATTATTTTTCTATTATTCTTTAAACTATTAAAATCTAGTTTTGAGAAATTATTCGATAAAATTAAATATGACAAAAAGGCGATTGCAAAGCTTCTGGAAATATTAAATATATTTTGCGTTTTCTTTTCTAATTTTTCTTAAATGAATCTGATACATTTTATTATACTCACATATGGTGACACCGGCCAGTAGGAATATCGGAATCTCGCAGCTGATATCCAACAGCATACCGAATGCTAGATTACTCACTACCGCACCACATCTGCCCAAGCAGGCCATCATGCATAACGCTACGGCAGAAACATGCGTTGGGAAGACGTCGACTGCCACGCTGGAAAGCACAATATTTGCTGTGGCTGCCATCAGGGAAAAAATGCACGCTGTTATGAGGAGCTGCAACGAGGAGTTGACGAAGTACATACCGAGCCCAGCGATACCAGCTATAAGCATCGTAACTACTATAAAGGAAAAAAAAATATTCTTGTTAATAAGGATAAACCAGAGATCTTTAAAAAAACAATTTTGTAATAATAATATTAGTAGTAATAATTCAGGATTATATACGTAGCACTTACCTGGCATTGTTTGACGACCAACTCGATTTGCCAGATGTCCAGAGATGATATTCCCGAATAAGCAAATGGCATTAATCGTCAGAGAATTAATAAACACTCGCTCGTCTATGTGTGGTTTGCATTCCCTTGTAGCTTCGTTCGCCAAAAGGACAAACGCTTCCTCTAGAATCGGATTGTGATTCGCTAACTGTGTATTGTATATCAACTCACAGACTGTCACTGATACATTCGGGTGCGATTGATAGTAGCTTTCGAAGCGATTGAACAATTCTGGCAGCCAAAGACTAAAGCCATAATACCTAAACATACCAATCGAAAAGATATATTTGACAAATATTTCCTTTTATATTAGTACAATTGATCTATTACCACATAATATATGCTGTTAATACTATATAATATATATTAATATAATATATATTAATATTAAAAAGTAATGATATAAAGAGAATAGATAAGTTTTTTGGTAGTAAAATCATGCAATTCTAACAAATATTTTTTAAATGGCACTTAGTATGTACATTTTTACTTTAGTCGGGAGAAACTCACCCAAACATGTTCGTGAAATAAATCGTCCACAAGAGAACAGCGTACTTTAAGAAGGGTGGCGAGGCAATGGTACGCAATTGCCACCAAATATTTTTTATCAATTCCGTTAACGTATCCGTCGAGGAAACTGATGTCTTATCCTTTTTTAATTCAAACTCGGTGTCAGGAAGGAGTTCCTTTACCTAGGTAAAAATACATCGCGTCAGTTGAAGAAAGATATCGTTTACAATCCGGAAATTCAAAAGTGAACATTATTTTCTCACTCACCGGAAATTCGCTTTTGTCACGTCCGGTATTTACTGTGTAAATCTTTTGAAGAATCATGAGAGCCTCGTTGGTTTTACCTTGCGATACCAAGAACTTTGGACTTTCGGGATACATGAGAGTTATTATCGCTATAATAAAAGTTGGCAAGCTAATAACGCCAAGGAATAATCTCCACGAATTGTATAAAATGCCGTAGAATTCGAAGGATATCGGCAACGGTATGATAATCCACGCCAAGCCTGGATAAATTAAGATTGTCAATAAATTAATATTAATAACATACATTATCTAAAAAAAATAGATTTAAGAGTTCTCCATCCATTGATAATATTTAAAAAAATTATTACCAGGTAATATCAACCAAGCGAAAGTGAAGAAAAAGCCCAGAAAACAAATGCTTTTCGCTCTGTGTTTCTCTGCATAAAATTCACCAAGGTACGTGAATAACAAGGAACCAGGTGCACCCATCCTAAAATTAATAGAAAAATCATATATAGGTATGACATATTTAATTCATATTTGTTGTTTCATTCACAAATTCATTTGCTACTCACAAGAATCCGCTTACGACTCTGAACACTAGAAATAGCTTGAAACTTTGCGAGAAACTTCCAATCAATGTTAAGATACTATCGCAAAAGAGAGTTAACAACAAAATATTTCTTCTTCCGTAGGCTCCTGCGAAGACTCCCCAAAAAAGTGCGCTGATTACTGAACCTAGAGCAAACGAATATGTGTTAATAATCTAAAGATAAAAGCTTCAAAAGCTTTTATGATTTAAAAACGTAAATTTTGAGAAAGAGAAATGCAAGTTTAGTAATTTTAGGATTTTACCTAGAAGAAAGCCGACGTTTAGAAGTCCTTTTTCCTCAGATCTCATATTCAGATCACATTCGGCTGATGGCAAAATGTACGCGTTTGCACCATATTGACAGCCAACGCAGACAAACATCACGCCACAAACCAACAATAAAGTGTACTGATACCTTCCATTTCCTACAAAAGAAGTGTAATTTAATTTAAAAAGCTGAACATCATTTAAAATGCATGATTCAAAATAATGCATCGAAAATTTACCACATATTTCCATCGCTTTTTCAAAATCTGCAGTTTCTTCTGTAGACGCATTCCGATTTTCTTTTTCTAAAAATCAAAATTTTTTTTGAATTTATTTAGAGAGAAATAGGAGCATAATAATTATTATAAAACACAAATGTGATTCACGTCTAAAATTAAAATTAAATTAGATTTTTTTTTAATGAGATACCTGATTTACGTCATAAACATATATTCGCTTATATCGCACTGCCGATGTGTGCGAGCATCATGTAATACTCGAAGTTTTATAAGCAAGCATATGCGTATATTCCAAATTTAACAATATTCCAAATTTTGTGAAGATACATCACGTATATACATAAATCACATATACACAATTGATTACGCACGTCAAAATTTTCCTATATTTGCCTGCCTGAATTATGGAATCGAAAAAAATGCGCCTGTCGTTCACATTCCTTAAACGTAATAGTTACCAAATTACACAGGTGCGTATACTTTTATTTATCACTCCGTCCATTAATTGAGTGCAATATCAATCAATAAGGATTTATTATGCGTTTACTTTCTAATCCACAATATTCCTAAATCTCACTTACGTCTGTATCACACATGACGTTTTACATGACGTGTATGCTCGATATGATATCGAATTCTTATCCTTGCTGTCACGAACGGAATAATTTTAATGAAAATATGAGTGTATATGAATATATGTATATCATTTTTAATTCTGCTGAATCGCGCGTAACATTTATTTCCTTACGTCATATATTTTTTAATAAATTGCAATTAAAAATTTCAAATTAAAAAATTTCGAAATATAAAAATTTAATATAAATAATAATATTAAATTAATTTACATAAAGAATTTCTTGATTAAATTAAATAAGATAAATTATATTTTTAAATGATTGTTAGACTTTATATGTAATGGCCCAATCATCAAAATTAATTTAAAATGCGAGAAAAAATATTCAAGCAAAATTTATATTACAAAATTTTCAATATTTCAATAGTAATTAATTAATTATCATGCAGTATTTTACTATTATTTTCTCGGTGTATTGTTAAGACATATAGTCATCTTGTTGTCATTTGAGCAAGAAAGTAAAATGCGAAATACACTGTATATTATCGAATTCTTTTTCAAAATGCAATCGCGATAAGTGTTGGACAAAGAAATAAGAAATAACTTTCTTATAATTAATAATTATTTTTCGTAAATAACAAGAAATTGATCGCGATTATAGCAAGATCTATAATAGATACTCAAATGGATATTCTAGTAATTATTTATTATCCCAAATAAAAATCGAAGCAATAGATACAAAAATTATAAATTATATACAATCTTTTATAAAAATTATTTTATAAAATTATAAAATTAATTTATTATAATCCTTGTAATTTTTAATATAATAATATAATAATAATAATAATTGGTTCTCTAAAGATACATAGAGAAATATTTTTCATCCATTGTTTTAAATTTTTCGCTAATCTAAATATGTAATTTATCATTCGGATTGAAATCGCGTAATAATACACAAATGCAAAATTGGTTAAATTAATTAAATTAAACACATTAGAATAAGTAAATTGTTTATAGAAAGAATAAATCATCATAGAAAAAAAATAGGGATAAACTTCAGGACTTTGGAGAAAACTTTTGATTCGATTATACATTTTAATTTTATTGTTAAAATAAATATAATATTAAATTATTAAAATGTTAAGCTATTGTGATTTATTTCGATGATTTCGGATCAAATTATTGAAATATGACTCATTTTGTTATCCATATTTGTTGAAACAAAGTCACATATGTTCACTTCATGTTTGCTCCGTGGGAGGTAATATTATTTTCCAATTGAAATAAACGCACAATAAAAAACCGGTAATAAACCGGTATATTGACGTAAAACCATCTTTGTGCACGCCTTTTTGTGTCCCAGTGTCGCAATTCGATAATTATCTTGCGTTTCGTAGATGAATGCTAACCCACTAAACGTTACATCGCTTGTTGCATAAGAAATTTCATTGTCATTGCACTCGCAAAATATAACAACGACGTTTGTCACAATAAATCAAATTATTTTTAAATTCAAATTATTTGAGTAATTGCGGTGTTTTTCTCATGAAAACTTACACGCATAAATATACAGCATAATTTAATGCAAATTATGCCAATTGTAAGTGCTATCGAACAATAAGACAAAAAAATGCAAACATGAAGACTGAACGATGAAATGCACGTGAGATCGACAAAGAAACTCGCTGGCATGACTTTAATCGGCCGATTATACGTAAAGTGGCGAATTAAGGGATAATTACAGGCGTAATTGTACTTTACCACTTCGAAAGAATCGATGGCGCAATTGTTACATTACAATTTGACCGATGATGAAATTGTCTATATAATTGATATTTTATTTGAATAATTCAACTAAAATGGATATAAATAAAATAAAATTATTTTATAATGAATTTATAAATGTTGAATAATTGTTTAAATGAATAAATGAAAGAAATATTAGCTCATCACTGCAATGCTATTAATTATTCTATAAATCAATTAGAAAAAAGCAATATTCTTCTAAGAAGGTATTACATCGATGATAATAATGAGTAAGCGAAACGTTAGTTTTTGAGAAATACGTAAGATTTTTTAAAAATAATTTATTTTTCTGTTTACATAGGAAAGCAAACTGAAAACTTGGAAACGAGATAATAAAATAATAAGATACGAAGCAAAGTGATATTATTGAGGAAATATTCAAGAATCACACATTTAAATCAGTTGGCATCAAATATATCTCATGAATTCATGCCAAAAGAGGAAATAAATAGAAGATGGATTCAATATCCTGACTCTAAAATTTAATCTCACACAAAAATTTTTGCTAAAACAGTTTCAATATAAATAACAGTTTAATATAAATTCTATGTTTGAGATTAATTAAAAATTTTGATTTTAATTTTAAAATTTAAAGAAAACGTAATTTTTAAATAATTCAAAATATATATGATTAAATATATATGATATTAATAGACGCATGTCTATTACGACGACGGGGAATTTTCGATTGTACTTTTTTTTTAAATTCTAATCAACAGGTACCCCAGCATCTTAGAAAAATATACCAAATTACAGACTGACCTACTGACAGGGAGATGGTAGAGATACGGCTGACCATGGTGCAGCACCGGAAAAAATTTCCAATAGCAATGTCCGGTACTACGACAGGCGCAATCTCTTTGGTCGCACGACGAAGAAGCCTAATCTGCGACTGCCGATTGTGGGTGGTACGGAAAAGTCGTGACCTCCCTTGAACGTCGCTCGCCGATGACGATGGATCGACACATCGACCGGAATCGTCGCCGCGACGCTTTAAATATTATGTCACGCGCGAGCGCGAATGCGAATCCAAAAATACTTCCCCCCTTTTTCACGCCGGTCGCGGTAATTAATCGGAAGGAGGTCCAAGTGCTCATTATTCTACGCGAATACACCTGCGTGTTGTAATAACATAATTATTAGCCAGGATGGTAAACACATTCATAATAAAGTGACAATTGAATCTCTTTATTATTCGTGATTCGAATATTAATTAAATTTGTAAGAATCTAATTTGAAATATATTTTTATCATTATATATTTAGTAGGCTATACTCTCTCTGCTATTACTTAAATTGACATTATTTAAAATATACAAAATGACAACACAAAGATGTGTAATTTTTTAATAAAGTTCAAAATTAATGATTATTAAACATTATAAGAAATTTGTGAAAATTCCTCTTCACACACACATATATATATAAATATCTATAATTTTTTGAAAATATCTCTATATAGAAAAAAACTTCTTCCAACATCACAATAAATTATTACATTTTATTGGAATTGAAAAATGGCAATTTATGCAAGTCAGAAAAATAAATAAAACATATAACGGATCTGATTTCTTAATCTGTTGATGTTCGACTTTAATGTATTAATATTTCATCGAATTTCTGCTTACGCATCATTAACTTTCGATAGTCTCGAGCTAAGTAAAATCTCCAAAAAAAGATCTGCATCTGTTCACGTAGGTCCCCATCTGTGATGAAAATCACGCGTTGTAGAAGACAACTGAAATGAAAAAAATCTATGCGAAAACAGTTCGTTTGAGCTAACAGATTTGTTTCATTAATTCGTTATTAGTTTTTTTTATCAAAAAATTATCAGACGGAAAAGTCAATCGTCGCGTGATCGATTGGATAATGGTCTGTTTAATTGCAAGCGAATTAAATTGCTCTCCAGCAGCGAATATTTTATAAATAATTGCGTTCATATGTTCACGATCTATTCACTTATGACGTTTTAATTGCAAACGAATTAAGTTGCTCCCCAGCAGCGAATATTTTATAAATAATTGCACTCATGTGTTCGCGGTCCATTCGATTTCTTTCCTCGCAGTATTGTTGTCCCAAGTGTCTTTTTTGCATTTTAAGCTTCGACAATGGGATCTATTAGCGGACTCCATTACTGTTATTATCTGCTAGAATGATGTCATTCTTTGCAAAATTATTTTTCTGTTCATTTCAAAAGTCTGAACGTTTTTCGTATAAATTGGAACAAAAAAATTTAAACATTCAATATATATAAATTAAACTTCTTCTATTATTGTTTGTATATCCTAAAATATTAATTATTTTTAAATGCAAGCTTAAAAGAAGATTCTTCATAGAAGTAATTGATTTTACTGACTCATATCTGTAATTGGAAAGTCCTATATCTTGTCTAGATAAAGTTGTTTGTCTCCAGCTACGAGTAACGTTACTTATATTTAAACGCACTGCAATTTCGTATTTACAGTATGCAATGAGTATGCATATGATCATACATATATGTATAAGGCCGATCAGGACAATATCGGCAATTACAAGAATGTTTGTCATGGGTGCGGTTCTTCTTTCATTAAGGAGACCAGAAACCCTTGAAGAGCTAAAAATTGACATATGTATGTCCGTTGACCTGAGAATTAGGACCAAATCGATATTTCAACTGCATTTTTTTCTTACTATTCAATATTGTAGTTATCTGTGTATGACAACTGTTTCTATTGCATAAATAATTCGTTTGTATAAAAGTATAATTAAAATTATATAAAGTTTGTAAATATATAAAAATAATATAGAAATAAATGGCAGTGATGCGAAAGGTATCTGTCTCATGATTGTAAAAACATTTATGACTTATTACGCACGCATTTGAAAATTACATAATATAATAATATTAAGATATATAAAGCTAAATGAAGTAAAAAAATCTCGTATTAATTAATTGCGTTGATGCTCATATTTCTGTTTCAAAATCTATTCATCGGCAAGCACGGAAATTTGATGTGCATCTTTAGATCACGCGTTTTACATACAATAAAAGATTAATTATAAATAATATAATTTTCCATTATATGTTATGTTTATAATAAAAAAATTAATACATTCGCAATAAATATTAGAACGTTAAATTCGATCATATTATATTCGTGATCCACAATAGATATATGTATCAAACGGTGATTTTACCAGCAGTGAAAATGAAAATGACCAGAGTTTCTATGTAGTTTCTAAAATGAGTATAGATGACGCAAGAACATCACAGAAAATGCCAAGATAACAGCTTTCAGTTTCACTTTCTACGAGGTTACGATAGATAAAAATAGGCTCAGATGGCAGTTACACGTACGATTTTAATGATATAATAACAATTCCAACAGGAAATATTGCACAGAATTGGAATTGTGATGAAAGTGATGTGTCTTTTTTAAAAGATCTTAAATAATTGAAAGAAATGGCTGCTGTGAAATTCGGAAAACATTTGAAAGAATTAAGAATCCTCCTCTGTCAAACATCCAAATCTAGTCAAGGTGTTAGGTAAAGTGATAACAAACGAGACGTTTATGTGAATTGAATCAATTTCAATTCTGTCAACTTTTGTGCATACATTACAGAGACTTCATCGAGCAACAGTATGTGCCATTGAAGAGAAATAATCCAAAATTTCCCGTTTTGATTAGGGAATGCTCAGATATCGAACCGAAATTGTATGCGCGTTATGGTACGTAAAGATAAATATTCATAATTCTCTGTAGATGATATCAAGTCATTTTACAAATTACATTTTTTTCTCCGGATACAAATACTTGTTCAAATGTCATCTATCCCTTTGTAAATGATGTTGCAGAATATGGCGTAGAACGTTGCGTGCCCCTATCAAATATGAAATCTGAAGAAATACTTGGCAAAGTTAAAGAGTTAGTATCTCATAAATGAATATTTTATCAATGTATGTATCATATGTATAGAATGTTGTAATAAAATAGTTACATCAATTTCAAATAAGAGTAAATTAAAATCATTGACAGATTTCAACGAATTATACTTTTATACATAACACATGTGCTGAAGATATGTACAAATTAAATATTTTTTTTTATAAAAGTGTGGGAAGACTTGTCATTTTTTAGCAGAAAAATATTTAATTTTCTAGTTTTTTTTTATGTATATATTAAGCCGTTATATAATCTCTTATAATATATGCTATACTCTATAAGTAGCTGGATAATTATCATCTAAAAAAAAATACTAACCAACTTAAAAAAAACTGACCAATATATCTAACTTAATTACTTAACTAATTTAATAGTTTAAAGTACATAAATATATCTATATTTGGAATTTCACACTATAATGAATATAAATAACATAAAACTTCTATTGTATAAGTACAATGTATATAATTGAATATAGATTTTTAATCACATTATATAAACTTCAGGCAGTGTGATAATTCCTGTATGCAAGTATGAAAATATATATCTTTAGAATATATAATACTTGCATTTTTCTTTTCAAATAAAATCTATATATATTAGTTAATCTTCACATTTGCATTAAAAAAAAACCTGCCTGCAGGTTTTTTTTAAATAATTATGCCTTATAATCTGGCTTAGTTATATGTCTTTTTTTGTTAATAATTATGTCTCATAATCTGGCTTAGTTACATAAAATTAATCTCTACATTCTCTTTAATGAGCTAAAATAAATATAATTCCTCTTTGCTGAGCTAAAAATAAATAATTTCATGCTACAAACGGTGGTAATCCAAAATCTTCTGGCTTGAAATCTTCCAGACTTTTTAAGACCAATGTAGCATCTGTAATGAGATCTTTAGGAAGTTGAGGATCTGGCACCATTATCACCTGCATTTTAGCAGCAAGAGCAGCTTGCACTCCATTCGGTGAATCTTCAAAGACTAGACACTATGATATAGATAGATATAAATATATAGGCAGATAAATATAATTTCAAAAATATTTAACATATACCAAAGTTTACAAACCTTTGAAGGATCAGGATTATCAGGAAAACGTTTTGCAGCAACTAAAAATATATCTGGACTTGGTTTCCCATTGGGAACCTCTGGATCAGAACCACCATATACTTTATGGTTAAATAAGTTAAATATATGTTTCCATTTTCGAGTTTTCAAATCGCTACTCTCTTGAGTTGAACTTGTAGCTAGTGCAATAGGTATATTATTTTTTTTAAGATGCAGGAGCAGCTTTTCCGCACCTATATGTAATATTCATATTAAAATCAATTAAGATATAATACTAAATCATTTTCACTTTGTTTCAACTCACCCGGCATAAGATCACATTGAGGAAATATTTCTTGATATATAGGAGCCAGCTTGCTCTCAAACGTTTGCACTGTAATAGGCAAATGTAACATACTTATTAGAGTATGCAAACCTTCAATGCCTTTCAAACCCATAATTTTTGCCTTGTGTTCCCAAGTGTACATTTTTCCATACTCTTGAATAACACGACTGTATGCCACCGAATACAAGGACTCTGTATCTATAGAATACAAGAAAATCAATTATATTCCCTTTTATTTTTTAAAAAAGTATTTCTAATCTTTAAAACAAAAATTAATATTAAGATCATTAAAAGAGAGATTAATATTAAGAGCTCAATATTAAGATATCGATATCATATAACTATAATAAATTTTTATCGATATAAAATTTTTTATAAAATCAAATATACAGATATTATTTTTTCAAAAGTTCGGAAAATGTCTTTACCCAGTAATAGACCGTCCATGTCGAAAATGCAGTGAGTGACATTCTTAAAACCCATTTTATAGTCGTCGCGCGTAAAACTAATTTGTATTAGGTTATCCAAAGTACTTTGCCGAAGTTCTCGTAGAAATCTGTATTTCAAAAAATACGTTCTATTTTTTTACTTCGAGAAAAAAAGATTATAAAAACGCTAGACAAACGCTAACAGATATGCTAAAATATGCGCGCACGACTGATATTTCTACGTGGCCTCTTGCAACTTGTACTAAACTTGTGTAACCCTCGATTTCGAATATAAATATAGTATCGAGCGATACTAGATGTCTCCCCTTCTGATTGTCAATATATAGTTTTCCTCAACCCTCTTTTAATAGAATTATTGAGCAAAAAGGAAACATCCTTATTATCATTAAAATTTTTTACTCGGTTATATTATTTCAATTATATAAAATGTATATGTAATATGTATAAATTATTTACAACTTACAATGAAAAGATATTATATACAATGAAAAAGTCACCGACATACAATTATATATATATATAAATCAGAACTATACAATACACTTTTTATTATAAAAAATTCTTGTGAAATGCATTTAATAATAAATGTAGTTTAACAAGAGCATGTGTATAAATATAAATACACATACAAATTGTAATATCCTTAATATTCATCATGGTATACAATATAAAATGTATATGAATGTTTTATCTAATTTTTATTCTTTTCTTTAAATCTATTTTATTCTAATATTTTTTTATTTCTTCTAGATTTTATTCTTATGTACAAAAGACTAATATTTATTCACATAACAAAAAGTTTTATAGTTTTTCTAAATCCATATTTTCGTACAAATTTTTTTGTTCTTTAGGTCTTGTATATCATTAATGCAATAAAGTATTTATAAAAAAATTCGTTGTTTTAATAAAAAATTAATTTCATCATCAATCAAACTAATAGATTAATTTAATTTATACTTAATTACTAATAAAGTTTTTTTCTTGTTCTTCAATTTACAAATGTATCTTTGTATGTGTTTACATATTTCACATTGTGTGATTTTAATAAGAGTCTAATTAATATAAGTCTAATTTTCACATTATGTTATGATCATATGTTTCTTGATTAATCAGTACAAAGATAGTTGTCTTTAAGCTTGGTCTTGAGAAACAATTTTATCTATGTTGAATTAAATCATTTTCCGTAACATTTGAAATGCTATAAAAATTATATGGCAAATTTGTTGGCAAAAAATTTTGGAGCGCGGCCGGGACTGCATTGAAATAAGTTGTGTTTCGTTCTCTGAATACCGTTTCTTGAACAGCACCATTGATATCTGTTTGAAAAGTTTGAATAGTAGTCGTCGGAATAGCTTGAATAACTATGGGTTGTGATGTTGAAGCATAAGGAACTGCTTGTATTACCTGTAAAAATGCAACATTTAAATAATGTTTGTGTTAATCAAATATACATAGGTTATTGCTTCAAAACAAATTCAATTTCGTACGATATTTTTAATAAAATTTGGATTATATTTTATATATCCAATGTTTTAAAATATATTAATATTTTTTCTCTATTTTTATTAATACATACATTAATACTAGAAAATAAACATTTTATACTTGCGCTGTCGTAGATTCTGTTTGAGATACAGGGAGTGGATCTTCTTCGAGATGCTGCGTTTGTTCCGTCGTCTGTTGCAATTGTTGATTATTGGTTAGATGTTTAGTGTGAGAAGTATTAATGCCATGTCGACGCTTCATATGCTTATTGTAATTTGGCCAATTTGTAAAGTGATGCTGACATTCTAAACAACTATATGGACGTTCTCCCGTGTGTTGTCGCCTATGTGTCTGCAATTGCAAAATATTGTATATTGTATAATTGATATAATTGTATTAAATCGGTATTTTAAAAACATTATACGATTAAAATCTAATAACTTACAGTTAATATCCCTTTGAAACGGAAGCGTTTCCCACAAAATTCACAGGTGAACGGCATCGCACCAGTATGAATTCTATGGTGTTCTCTTAGAGTTCCTTTCTCCCTGAAGGTCCTTCCACATACATCGCACTGATGCGGCTTAGCACCCGTATGCACTGTTTCATGTTTCTTCAATTGTAAGGGCGTTTTAAATCTGTGTACGATATTATTTGATTCTTTTTAAAATCATATATATAATATACATGAATGTGATATATGTTAGTGATATATTCTAACTTACGCTTTTGGACACTGAGAGCAGCTATATGGCTTATCTACTGAATGAGTTAAAAAATGGGCTTCTAAATTTCCTTTCTGTATAAAACTCTTGCCACATTGATCACATGTAAAGTTTCTAATACCAGAATGGATACGTTTATGTGTTACAAGATTTGGTTTTGTAGAAAATCTAAAAATAAATGTTACGATTCAAATATATAGGTATATGTATTGAAATATAGTCATTTGATATGTAAATAAAAAGAATTATAGTGTCATATTAACCTCTTATCACATTGATCGCATGGATATCTATTTTTTACAGTATCGGGTAAATGGCATCGATTATGGATATATAAAGCACTTTGCTGTCTGAAAGCTTTACCACAAGTTTGGCATACAAATGACCGTTCCTCGCTGTGGATCGCCTTATGAGAGTCTAATACTTTTTTATGTACAAACGACTTTCCACAGTCTTCACAGCTAAAAATTGAATAATATTAACAAATATATTCATATATCCAAAATTTTTTTCATGATTATGCATAACAAATGATTTTTACCTAAACTTTGCCTTATTCTTGTGCCTTTTAACATGAGTAAGAAATCCATAGTACTTATCATAGACCTTACAACATTGCACACACATATACTTGGCTTTTTGATTATGTACTGTTTCATGGTGTTCCTCTAATGCTTCTAGACTTGGTAATTTATCATTGCAATCTGTACACAGCCAAGGATATCTTTCTAAACCTTCTGCCTTTTTCCTTCCATGTTTGGTTGTTTCTATCGTTCGTGTTTCTCTTATTTCTAAATTAGATTCTGTCTCTAAATTAAAAGCATATATTATATTAGATTTATAACAGATCTATTGGTATTAATTATAATATAAGTGTAATAATTTTAAAGAAACAAGTAAATAAAATTACAGTAAACAAAGCAAATAAAATTGAAGGACATGTCTATATAATAAAATAGAGTACATATATACTATGCTTTTATATATTAATATATATTATATATTATTATATTATATGCATATAAAATCTTACCAGATATATAATTATCTACAATCTTCAAATTATTTTTCATAGCTGCATCATTCTGTTCCTTGTCTATTTGGGAAGACACATGGAGTTCCGATTCTTCTTCCATCCTTTGCATCTGGTTTTTCTTCTTTAATCTTTTCTTAGTCTGTTTAGGGGAACTCTTTTTTATCTGTATCTTACACTTCTTCTGTTTTGTATTACCTTGTGTTTCTCGAGTTTCAGAATTTTCACTTTTATCACATCCTTCAATAAAGTTATAGGTATTCAAAACATTAACTGTCTCATTGATATAATTGCCAGGCAATTGACGTTCAGCTATCTCTTCTCTGTTGTTGGCTTCATCTTTTCCAAACTCTATAGTCTCTTCCACATAATCTATATTTGGTTCTATTGGTTGTAGTTCAGGTTTTAAATCTATCAGTAATTGTTTTAACAATATTTGTGCTTGATTAGTCTTTTCAAAAAACTCGCTGCATTGGTTCAACAAGTCACAGCAATCTGTGCAAACTGTGAGTGGTAAACTATCTGTTATTAAAACCTGCAATGTTATAGTAATATTAATAATTATTATTAAAGATAAATATATATATATATATATATATATATATATATATATGTATGTATGTATGTATATATATATCAAAATTTGTATAACTAAATATAATAAGTAATTATATTATTAAAAATATATAAGCTATTTTTTTATTATAGAAAAACAATTTAATTTTACTAGACTGATAGCAAAATTATAGACAAATTCAAATGAGAAACAATTATAACAGGTGAAAAAATTAAAAAATTATCTTTTTTTATTATATTAATCTAACAAAATATAAAATATATATAAATATATATTACTTTAAATTTTCATATGTTTGAAAAATTTGTAACTACATAACAATTACATAATAAATTATAATCAATTAATGTACGATTACATATATATTAGAACCAACACTACAATATTACCAATATTATATCTACATTTATACACAAGGTGTATGTTTGAAATTCATTACCAATATTGGAAATCTATAATATATATATAACGTGAATTATCGGAATGTGCAGCAACAATTTCCTGGATTAGATCAATTTTACATGTACGAAAGCAACGAAGAACGCTCAATTTATTATCAATTTTACCTGTATTTGCAAACACTTGATAATCTTGGCCTCGATCGCGAGTTTCTGTCCCACGGCGTCGTAGATCCCGATGAGATTCTTCTTGGTCTCGGCGCACAGCCGGCAAAGTTCCGGCTCCGTCATCCTCATTCAATGCACATGCGAGATTCTCGTACGCGTAAAATCGTCGTACGGCGTCACTGCGCGAAGACGCATCCTGTTCGTATCTTTAAGGTCGTTTGCGGGGTGACGCGTGAAACAGCTGATTGTCCCGGGTTCGATCTTGAACCCTTAACCCGCGCACCTCCGTGTCAGGGATGTCTGACGAAGAGGAGACAAACGGAAGTCGTGTGCGTATCGCGTTCCTACGAGACGGTAATCCATTCATAATACAAACAGCTGGAGGAACGTAAGGCCGTGCGTATCGCGCGTGTTATCGTATCGTACCGCTAGTAAACAAACGATCGCCACGGGCAACACCGATCCGGACCACAGCGGACATGTTGTTCTGGCTACTCGCCACGAGAGAGATCGTAATTATGATTACGAGCGCTTCAACGAGGGGCGATTTGTTACCGCACCACGCAATGACCGATCGCGATCGAATCGATCGGCGATTACCTCCTTTCGTCTCCAAGCAGCGAGGAAAAGACCGCGTGTATCCCGCAACGTTCCCGCAAAAACACGTACTTTGTCGCAACGTTTGTTTGTGAAACAAAAAAAACATCTGATTCGTGAGACGCACCGCGCATGAGCGCGACTTTATTCCCGGGGCTCGGTATTGTCGGCGCTCGCATTTATCGACGGTCGTCATGGAAGGTCTTCGCATTTATCGATGGTAAATTCTTGTTGAAAAAATCAAACATGGCCGTTTGAAATTGTACAGATTACGAGCAATGTATTAGCGAAATAAATTAACGCTATTTTCGTAAAACAAATATAAAATGATAAATTATATTAAGAAAATTGAGATTGTTGGTAACATAAAAGTATACAAATATTCATCTAAACATAGATATAAATGGATCACAAAACAAACTCGCAGATGAAAATTTCTCTCCATTTTTATCTTGTCATTTCAGTTATAGTGAAGAATGATTAGAATTAAAAAATGAATATTTCTTATTCTCATGTTAACTTTTGTTTAAAAACTCACATAACTCACTCTTATTTTTAATTTATAATATCAATCTCTAATTTCTTAAGAATTAAATATCCAATTTTAAAAGAATTATTTTTATAATTTTTTAATTTGTCTAATTTTCACAAAAAAAAACCTAAAGAATCAAACATACAATGTTTCTATAATGAAAATTTTCAAAATAATCTAAAATAATCTAAAAATAAATATATATAACATTGCGAGATGACTAACTATCATTTTTATTTTAAATATATGGATAAGTGGCAGAAAAATATTCAGAATTGGAAGCCGTTTAAAATTCCATGGGTACTAGCGAAAGTTTGCGTTTTCTCAGAAACCTTCAAAAACGGTCTTGAACAAATATCTATGATTGCGTTGAACACGCCGCTAATTTCTTTGACATATTTACGTATTACAGATATGTTTTTTTTCTGAGAACTTTTGACGCAGCATTATTTCAATTTCCATGCTTTCGTGTATTCTCCTTTCACTCGCATTAACAGAAATTTTACTTTCCACTTTTCATATATAATCTGCATAAAAATAGTAAACTTTAGGAAATTGGAGAAAAGAAATTTTATAAATTATATTCCAATCGCAAATCTTTCCAATTTCTCTCAAGAACATTACATTATCTTCCAATTCCCCAAAAATTAATTAGTCTTATGCATGAAATTATTTTCAATACAATATGTCGTTTCCAAAATTTTCTAGAAAGTATTTGCGGTCTCCGCGGAATATTGGACACGAGTTAATGAGCTCGACTAAAGCCAGTTTAATCAGCTACTCATAAACGAGTGAAAATCGAAAGCAGCCATCCGAATAATTACATTTGAGAGGAAAAGTCGTAGGGTGTATTGCATTTTTTAGAGAAAAGACGTGATTTTTTAGTATTGCTCCGAGTATTATCAGATTCGCATTCAAGAATGACTCTTGCACAGAGGCAGAGAAAAGGAGGGATCGAGTGATTCACACGAAATGCACGGCGTCGAAGCTTCCACGGGCGAATCCCGTCACGGAGACTTCGACGCTCGAAAACACGGATGGTAAAAGTATTGACACGATGTGTCCTCATTATGTATATATAGGGGTGCCTACGCCAAGGAAACACTGCAGTTCTTCGTTGAGCGTCTGCAGGACAGCATCAGGTAGAGGATCCTATTGAAGTTTCTTCTGTGAAGATCAGTGCGTTTAGACACTGAAACGCCTAATCTTGCTGATTAGAATCACGGTGCAGCTGATCGTGTCAGGTAAATTCAACAGATAATATCTAAAACATAATTTAATGCGATTAAAATTATATCATTTCATACATTCCCGTTTTTAAGTTTTTTTAAAAAGCATTGCATACAATACGTATTGTCGTATTACGTATTTTCTTATCTATTTAATATATCCAGTATTAGATTATTAAGAATAAATTCTACGTATTTTGGAATTATATTTTATCTATATATGAATATAATAAAGAATAAAAGATATCATATTTTTCATAATAATTAATTTAATGAAATCTTATTTGTCATAAAGATTGAGCGTAAGGTACCACCCTGTATAATGTTGGAATCGTAGAACCGGTTTGAGGACGGTCTTCTTCAAGAAAGAGGACGGTCTTCTTCAGACATTTAAGCCTAAAAATAAAAATGAAAATATTTCTACCAATTAAAATTGAAAAAGATGAATTATTAAAAAATAAATTCTGATTAAAACACATTATAATCAAACTTCAACATTAATTTTTTGCATTTCTTTTCTATTAGTCGTAGCGTGAAAAGAAGAAAAATGATACGTCTCGTGTATGTTGTTGCTCTTGTGACGCTGTCCTCCGCACAATTTCAACCACAACCCAGTGGTCGGATTCTGGAATCGCCGAATCCAGCACTTTGCGCACAGAGTAAGTCTCCCTATTTATATATTACTATTTTATTAAAAACTATTTAACTTATTAAAGCATAAAAAGTTTTAAAAATGTCTATTAAGCATTAAAAATTTTTAACATATACATCTTTCAAATTTTTACATTGTTTTAATATGAAAATGTTTTAATCGTAAAATATTGCTCTTTCACCACGTATATTGTGTAAAAATTCAAAATATAACTTATCTACTTACTCTTACTAACAAAATATAAATTATCGAATTATTTAATGCTAAATTAATTTAATTGCCAGCTATAATTATTGGAAATTTTATGCAAGATTGGCAATGAAAACCGCTTAGAATTTTTATATAAATTGATCTTCCTGTAGAGAACGTAAATAATACAAATATTCCCAAGTTCTCTCTAAAAATTCATGTCGAAGAGAGAGTCTTCGTTCTATTTCCCTCAGTAGTCAAACATCCGAGAAAACTATAAACCAGAGAAAGTATTTTAAATATTTGTGATTAAAGAAATACCGCGATCCTGCGCTGTGGAATCTTCCTCCTTTATCTGTTTTCTTATTTCCTACTCCGCCTCGGATCTTTGACTATTGTATCTTCCGCGTCTGTTGCCTCCTTTTACATCGATCCCATCGCTAATTACACGTGGTTCTTTACATCTTGCGCATCTTCCTCGATGTTCGTTATAGAAAGTGTGACGATGACACCGACGGCAGTATAACTCGAACGCATTTGAATTGTAAATGTCCTCGTCGTAAGTAGTACGGAATGTTGGGTGGCACTTTCACGTTCATCGCGTTTTCAGCTGAATCGAACCGATGACAATAAATCACCGTTAATTATCTAATCTGGAATGTCGTCTTTCCCACATTTCCAGCATCTCTCAATATTCCCTTGCCTTATTATCTAAACAGGAAGTTAGATGAAAGATTTATTAACAAACATAACTTTCAAGAATCTCAAAATTATCTCAAAAGAAAATTAAAATTTGAATTATTTCGTTTTGAACTTCTTTTTGTATAAAATAAATTATACTAAATTTTTTCTTAGTTTGTAAACAAATTATAAAATTTCTAATAAACCTCAATTTTAGAAGACTTAAATCAAAATAATTCAATAATTCAAATCATTAGAGAATAAAAACCAATGTAAAATTCTCGATCAGAACATAATGAAATTCGAGACTTGAAAGAATTATGCACGAGGAACCTGATAACTTATTATCCATTCATTAGGTGTAGTCGATTGACGTGCGTTCCAAAGACACGCCCCTCATAAAAAACTTTCTTCTTCTTTATTTGGAAAGTGATACGCGCGATAAAATCAACATACAGCGCGGGTGCCAATGTCTAGGTCGTGACTGCGATTGCCCGGGGTCGCTGCCACGACTGACACTAATTTCGCAACTTTCACTCCGGGAATGAGCGAAAGACCTCTTGGCCTCTTCCTAGTGTAAACATACCTCTTGAATTCAAAGACATTATAAAGATTTATAGATTATTGTCTATTGTCTAGTGTCTGCGGTTTAATTCTCTCGATCTTCTAATTGCGGTTTGTCTCGCAGGAACCATCCATCAACGATTCAATGGAAAAGGCTATTATTTTTCATGGGCTGATCCAAGAACGGCTGGACAGGAAGTGGACTGGCTGTCGGGTAGAAATTTCTGCCGACAACGTTGCATGGATCTAGTTTCATTGGAGACCTCCGCCGAGAACGAATTCATCAAGAGCCGCATCGTTCAAAGTACTGTTCTACTCTGCAATTCGATCTTGCATGGATAGTTGAGATAAAAAACTTAAAGATGTTAATGTGAAACGCTTCTCTTGTAGACAAAGTGAGGTACATCTGGACCTCCGGTCGTCTCTGTGACTTCAAAGGTTGCGACAGACCGGATCTGCAACCCCTTCATATTAATGGTTGGTTCTGGACCGCCGAGTTGCAGAAGTTAGCACCCACCAACGATCGCGCCCAAAATGACTGGTCCGAGAGTGGCGGGTGAGACTTATTATTCGCAGTATTATATATCCATGTCGTATACCGACCTGTAATTTTGCATTGTTCAACGTTGCTATTCGAACACTTATATCGAGATATCGAAGTCAAGATCGTTCATATGCGATCCTCCTATTTTGTAGCTCAAGGATATTGAACAAGTTGTGATTAGATATTTTTTATACGCCCGTTGTAATTCTCTGCTATTCTTTGCTCTATAATCAATGATCGTGCGTCTAACAGTCAAGGTTTTTAAATACGTAATATTAAATGACAAAGCGATAATGTATGCATCTTGATTCATCTTACGATAATTCATTCTGAATTGAGCAATATGTGTTTTATTTAGTCTCGGCAAACCACAGCCTGACAATCGTGAGGCTATTCAGAACGGCGCTCCCGAGAATTGCTTGGCTATCCTCAATCAATTCTACAATGATGGAGTGAACTGGCATGATGTAGCGTGTCATCACAAGAAACCATGGGTCTGTGAAGACAATGAATCCCTCCTGAGATACGTTCGCTTTGCCAATCCCAACATTCGCATATAATGGAAAAAAACTTTACAGAACGATAGTTTTACTTTCGTTCAACTGAATTTAAGCACCTATAAAGTAACAATGTTCAAATGTGTGTCTACGCCAGAAAAGCGACTGAGTAGCATATAGAACATCTTATTTATTACTATTATAATATATTATAACATTTCATACTATTATAATGTTATAATATTTCACGAGACCCCATACAGTGTGAATTATTTAATTAAATTTGTAGGCATTATTTGATTACGGGAAATATCACTATTTATATTCCTAGATATAATCCTAGAGATAGGTGGAAAAGTAAATAAAATAGAAATTCCAGTTTACACATACACAAAATTCTTAGATTATTACAAAAAATTATAATATAACTGTATTTCTAAAATAATATATATACTAATTGTACATTTCAAATAGCAATAAATTTATGAATAATAAATAATTCCATACATTTCTTCGTTATTAAGAACAGCAATTTATTTACAATATGCGTTAATTTATAGCTTATTAAATTATGGTAAATTTGTGTAAAATGCATAAACTGTTTTTCTTTTTTTATATAAAAATTTAAATTACATAAAAATCGTATTCATTAATAAGAAATATATAATTTATCACATATATTAAACAAGATTCACATAGAATATCTAATGATATATATCATATATTTAATCAAATATGTATAACTTTACAAAAATGCTTTAAAAATGTATACTTTAAATTATTTTTTACCTTCTACCATTATGATGTGATATCCAAATTTTGTTTTCACTGGTGGATCTGTGTAAATCGGAGATGCCAGATTAGAAATTGGCAACGCAAAGGCAGCATCTTGAAAGGGTCCTACCATAGAGCCCCGTGTCATCCAACCAAGATCACCCTGTAGATAATAAAATGCAAAATCTCAGACACAATTATTTCCAATTTATTCATTAAGACGTTATTTTTTCGATATATTCATGTTACCCCAGATCTGGCTTTGTCCTCACTGTATGTCGCTGCGACTTCATTGAACTTCTGACCAGCTTTTAATTTTTCCAATGCCTCCAATATCTTCGATTGCTTTTCGCACAGTATATGTCTAACCTGTAGTCGCACATGGAAAGATAATTTTATAAAATAAGCTGTATGAAAATGATAAAAAACCTATTTTATATATATTGTACACAATATTTAATTTTCTAAGGGTGCTCATGGATTGTTATGACAATTAATAATTCACTATATAGTCATATGATACATATCATTTATCCATACAAAATATGTTTACTTACTTTCACTGCATTTCCTCCTTTCTTTTCTGTTTTTCCACTGTCCTCCGAGGATTTACCTTTACTAGTCTTCGCGGCACCGGCGTTCTTTTTAGGCGGCATGCTTGTGTAACTTTAGGTTATATCAATATACTATAACAAAAAATAAATTTTTTTCACAATTGTGTTTAATAAATAAATTTCCACGCTTAGTATGATTGAATAATTAAGAGATACGATTAATTATGATAAAATTTATGAAATTAGTTGTTTATGGGAATACAAAAGGACCTACCTAAACACGATATGTTCAATCCGGAAGTCATACTAAATATTTATTAATATTATTTAATATATTTATATTAATATTATTTAAAATTTATTAATTTCATTTAATATTTACTGATATTATTGATCCTCCTTTTAAAATTGCACTAACTTCGTCTTACATTTACTCCCTTTAATTTACTAATCTTTTAAATTTATCATTAGTTAGTAAAGTAGAAATGTATAAATTAAAATTATCATCAGATGGTTTCTTATTATTATTAATGTATTCTAAACTTTTGTTATTTACCTTAGAAAGAAAAATTTTGATTATAATTTATCTCCTTAACTGACAGATTTCTTTACTGACAGATTTGTTTACAAAATTACATTTATATCATGAAAAATATAAGGAGTGTTCAATTGACTACAGCCAATTATATCGACACGCGCCTAGGGTAACCAGCAACGATTGACCAATCAGAGAACCCTATTTTGAATTGGCCAATTGGCGACGTGGTCATTCAAAATATACTTCTAATATCAGGGCCAGCTGGAGGTTTTGCGGAGCCTCGGGAAAAAGTTATTAGTAGGGCCTCAAAATATTTGCAAAAAAAAATTTTTTATTGAAAAATCATATAATTTTATCAAACATAATTTATACAAACATTAAATATATATAATTATGCTCGACAAAAAATCACAGAAAAAACAAAAAAATTATATTATTTTTAATTGTTGCTTATTTCCTATTGCTTTTATTAAAAATAAAAACGGATCATCATCATATCATATACTCAATAAAGAATCAATATAAAAATTAAAATATTCCTTATATCAATACATCTCTGAAACTCTTAAAAATTCTATTATCAAATTTTCCTAAAAATTTGAAAGTGCGGGATCCCTCTAAGCGCGAGGCCTCGGTCTGAGGCCTGAAAATCCGACGTTTGAGCCGACCCTGCCTAATATGAAAATCGCTACATAGTGTACAAACCACGTGCATTATAGGCGAAAAGTATAATGTATACTATATCACACAGTAGTGATTCATTATATATATAGTGGATGACTGGTCACTTGGATTTGCTTAGTGATTTGAAATCTTATATCTTACTTGTGATATCGTTTGATAAGACGTGCGTTCATCTTTAAATCAGTAATTCAAGAGTAATATTTAATACAGCAGTTCAAGAGTAATATTTAGCACATATTGATATTTTCTTTACGTTACTTGCTTTTTCTTTACTTTTTTATTTGTTTCCTCTTTCTGAAATATTGAAATTTTTTCAATTGTAAAAAAAATAAAGCTATATAATAATATTACAAATCAGAACTGTACATGTCACATCAAATTATTACATGATTGATATTTTTAATTTCATTTAAGAATATTTCATAATTTATTGCAACTTATTTTCTCTCTAGAAAAAAGTTTACTTGATTACAAACTACTTAGAAAGAAAAAATTGCAATAATGGACCTAAAGCGACCAGATAGACCATCTAAGTGCACATGGAAAGCAAATGAAGAAAATTCACCTCACACAAAACGAATGGAGTAAGTTGGAAAGTATTAGAACTAAAATTTTATAGATAAAACATAATTTACATATCCTTCCAATTTTGCCATATGTTACACATACTATATTAATTTTTACATTTTAATAATTAAAAATTTTTAATATTTTCTGTTATTAAATTCTTCTATTAAATTTAGTATCAAAATTTAGATTATATGACATTAAAATTAAAAATATAGTCAAATAAAAGTGTAAAATTTGAAATAAATATTGCCACAAGTTATAATATATATTATACAAATAAATGTAACTATAATAACAGATGAAAAATTTTCATAATGTAATTTTAGCTTTATCATTAGATTTATTTATGTAGATTATTGTAATATTGCACAGATTTTTAAAATATCATGTGTTTAATATTGTAATACAATAAAATATTATAATAAAATATACAAGAGAAATGTGCCAACCTAGGTAGCAAGATGACATCTAAAAACGTCTTAAAGACGTCTTTAGACGTTATCTTGCTACCTGGGAATAAATGTCATTATTTTGTTTTCTACAGGATACCAAATCGCAACAAAATATTACCTGACATTTTAAGTGCAATCGGTCAGACACCTCTCATTCGGCTCAATAATATTCCTAAATCTCATGGAATCAAATGTGAAATATGTTAGAAAAAATTTTTATATCATATCTTATAAATGAAAGAAAAGTTGATACTTCGAGAAATTTTTTTTATCAACTATTGTTATTTTTTTACACAGATGTAAAATGTGAATTCTTTAATCCTGGTGGATCTGTAAAAGATCGAATAGCGCATAGAATGATACAGGATGCAGAAGAAAAGGGATTGATAAAGCCAGGATATACAATTATTGAACCAACAAGTGGCAATACTGGAATTGGTCTAGCAATGGTTGCGGCAGTCAAGGGCTATAAATGCATCATTGTGATGCCAGAGAAAATGTCTAATGAAAAAGTCTATGTGCTTCGCGCTCTCGGTGCGGAAATTGTGAGAACGCCAACTGAAGCTGCTTGGCATAGTCCAGAAGCGCATATCAGTGTTGCTCAAAAATTACAAAGAGAGATACCGAATAGTATTGTCTTAGATCAGGTAACATATCCTTCATTTTAATTCTCTATTTTAAGTAAAACTAATTTATCTATTAATATAATATACAGTATACTAATCCTGGTAATCCATTGGCACATTATGATTTAACTGCGACTGAACTTTGGGATCAATGTGATGGGAAAATAGATTATGTAGTTGCTGGCGCTGGTACTGGAGGAACTGTCACCGGAATCGGGCGTAAATTAAAAGAATTGTCGCCTGATATAAAAATTATTGGCGCGGATCCTATAGGAAGCATTTTAGCACAGCCATCTGAGTTGAATAAAGGGAACGGTGGTTTCTACGAAGTAGAAGGAATTGGGTATGTATTATACTATGTATAGAAAATAATAACTATAACATAATGTATAACATAATGTTTTAATGAAATGTTCTCATTTTATATAAAATAAAAATAATCAAATAAATTTTTTATATTTTCCAGATATGACTTTGTACCGACGGTCTTGGATCTTAATATTATTGATATGTGGATAAAGACTGAGGATTGTGAGTCACTAAACGCAGCACGTGCATTAATTCGTGAGGAAGGATTATTATGCGGAGGTAGTAGTGGAGCGGCACTTGCAGCAGCAATTAAAGTCGCTAAAAATCTGCCGGCAGATAAACGTTTAATCGTTCTCTTGCCAGATGGCATACGTAACTACATGACAAAGTTTGTATCAGATCAATGGATGGAAGCCAGAGATTTTTTGGTAAAATATATCTAAGATATCATATTGTATATTTACATATTGTTATGAAAGTATATAAGATGTATCCTAATAAATCATAATCTTTTTTTTTTCTTTAGACGTGCCAAACTTCCATAGAGACAAACAAATGGTGGTGGAATATACCATTATTGAATTTAACATTAAATAAACCTACATTATTACCAAAGGGAATGTCATGTCAAGATGCTGTGGATTTTCTTAAAACTGCTACTAACATTCAACAATTATTGGTAACCGATAACGAGAAAACACATGTAAAAGGTGTTATCACATCAAATGCGCTTTTGTCTAATTTGATTTCTGGTGCGGTGAAGGGAACGGATTGCGCGGAGAAAGTCGCGATCAAACAGTTTACAAAAGTTACGATCTCAATTACATTGGGCAAACTATCACATATTCTTGAAAAAGAATCTTACGCTGTAGTTTTAAATAACGATAATGCTTTAGTCGGAATTGTAAATCAAAATGACATTTTTAATTTCATAATTAAGGTTGATAATGCAGCACAGAGTAATGGCATTTTGTAAAATTCTCTCATTTGATAAGGCAAGATTGTCATTTATACAATATCTGTGTATTTGGATAATTAAGAAGCTATAAATACAAGAACGAGATTGAACAAGATGTTAGAATTCCTTGCTGCATTATTATTAAATTTTATTATTTGATAATTGATTTGATTATTATTTGATAATTGATTTATTATTTGATTTTTTTTTTTTCAAATATTATTTGCTATTATTTTTTGTACTTATTATAGCTATTATTTTTTGTACTTATTATAGCTATTATTTTTTGTACTTATTATAGTTATTATTTTTTGTACTTATATCTTATTTGAAATTAATTTAGTACTTATATCTCTACAATGAAAAAAGTTGCCAATAGGAAGAATTGAATTCTTATTTGAAATTTTAATACAATTTTGTTTAGTACTTCTCAGCATTTATAGCTTTTAAGCGTTTAAGTTTTGTATATCCATTTTTATAATGGTTTTATAAATCATGTAATTAACAGAAGTGAGTACAAATATATATAATAAAGTTATGAACCAATATATATCTGTGTGGATGTACTTTAGAATAAAAATGTTCATTCAAATGTTCATAATTGAATATATAAAAGAAAATGTGTTTTACGTGAGATTTACATATGTTTTATATAACTCAGCAAACCAAAATATTGCAGCTACATTGCTGCAATATTGTAATATTGCTGCAATATTCTGCGTTTGTTGGGAAGATTTTTATGAAACTACTCTTCTGGAAAATTAATGATCCCTTTTGATTAAACTCAAAAAATGCAAAGAATGTATAATAAATATCTATTTCCTTATATTTAATAAATACACAAAATTTTATCATATATATTTTTCTTACATATCTCCATACCTATATCTCTATGCCTTTTTGTTTTTCAAATCATAATAGAGCAGCTATTAAATTTTTTGAACTTGAACATGAAACTTACAGCTTGGTAATGTAGTAGTTTCTGCTGTAACAGTACTGATAATACCAAGATTTGCTAAACTACCTCTGAGGAGACCACAAGTGAAGGCCAGCAGACGAGGACTCTCTTTAAGATACTGCTTGCTGTTACTTGTACCAACTTTATCTAATAATCTGAAGGCATTATCTTGTAGCACATAAACTCCATGATGATTAGTTCTGAGATTATCGATTTGTTTGTGATATAAACTGGACCAAAAATCTGTGCAAATAAACTTGATCATATCCAGTTCATCCTTGAATCTGCTCCATTCTCTTGTTAATCGTTCAATAATCCTGTATCCAACACTGAATCCCATCCATTCCAAACGCGAGAGCTCTTCTTCGCCTTCCTTTTGAGATACATATATGTCGATATATATATTTTCAGTCAAAAAAATTTTTTATAATAAATATAAATATAAATATTTATAATGGAGAAAATATTACAATACATGCAAGCATTTTTATTGCTACCATCTTATATTCATTACTTACTGCAGTATTAGATGATTTACTCAGAACATAATTGACCAGTTCGGCATGCAAATATTCAAAGAGACAATCGTCAGCTTCTCCAGTTGCATTAGGATTTACTTTGGAATCAATTATTTGTTGCTTCATTTTTTTCGTCGATATTATTTCTCGTTTTATTCAATTATGTAACTTATTCATGTGTAACCTATTTTTCAAACATATATACATACGTGGCTTTTAAATAACCTAAATATGTACAGTCATTAACTTTATATTTAAATTGTTGAAATAGTCACAAATTAATCGCTGTTTCCTGCGATTGTAAAATATTATAAAGTATATATCAACACATATATATTATACGCATATACTCGCGCATGACATTAAGCCAATCTATGGACACTTGACATGCGCAAAACACGATTTACATGGGTATGTGAATCGTGACGTATGTGACACACACCCATACCCACACACACACGCCACACCCAGCACACTATATATATATATATATATATATATATATATATCACATTGGTAACCATGGAACTGTTTGAACACATTTATGAAAACACGTTCTCTTTACAGGATAATCATATGTGCACTAATAATTAATTTCTTAAATGTCAATATAAAAATATGCTAGCAAACAGTGCCATCTTTCACAGATATTTATTTAATACATATTTTTTATTAAATAGGGATCTTTATATAAAATTCACGCATGAAGAATATTTTAATATTGCATTATAGTTAAATATGTAACTTGAATAATAAATATATATTATTTAATTATATATGAATATATTATTTATATCCATAATATAATATTTGCAATATAAATGGTTAAGATAAAATAGGATATGGAGAAATATATCATCAATGGTCAAATTGGTGAAGGAGCGCAAGGCTTAGTTTTGAAAGCACATGATGTGTCCAGGGATCAGGATGTGGCACTGAAGAAAATCCTAATTAAAAGAACTGAAGATGGTCTACCCGCATCCATCATACGCGAAGTGAAAAGTTTACAGCAACTCGAGCATCCTTATGTATATTTTTTTCTTTTTAATTTTCTTAAATTAGCCTGAAACAAGAAATTAATTGTATTTTTAAAACATTTATTTATATTTTAAATTAAAAATGTTATTGCATTTACCACAATTTACTCGCAGGTTGTTGCATTATTGGATGCTTTCCCAAGTGGCTTGGATTTTATAATGGTATTTGAATACATGCCATCAGGTTTATGGGAAGTGTTGAGAGATACTGACATATCCTTGACGCCGGCGCAAATTAAAACATATATGAAAATGTTGTTGGAGGGTATGGCATATGTACATGGAAAACACATAATACACAGGGTATTAAAATATTCCTCTTCAAAATTATTCCTAGTTTGAGATTTATAGATGCAATTTCTCCCAATATTAAAGTTTTTGAAATTGTACTTTTAGGACTTAAAACCTGCAAATCTATTAATTAGCGCAGAAGGTATCTTGAAAATCGCAGATTTTGGCTTAAGTAGATTGATGTGGAAGGATAGTACGAAAGCGTATTCGCATCAGGTCGCCACAAGATGGTACCGAGCACCGGAATTGCTTTATGGAGCGCGATATTACACATCCGCAATCGACATGTGGTCAATTGGCTGCATATTTGGCGAGATGTTAAACACTTCTCCATTATTTCCAGTAAATATCCCACTTTCATTAAAATAAATTGATAAAATATATGATATAAAATCTTGATATTGTACGTATAAAATTACAACAGGGTGAAACTGACATTGAACAGCTAGCTATAGTTTTGAAGTATTTAGGCTCTCCTACATCTGAATCGTGGCCTGAATTGGCTTCATTACCAGACTACAATAAAATTAGTTTTCCTTATCACAAAAGTACATCATGGGAGAGTATTATTCAAGACGCCCAACCAGAAGCTACCGATTTAATCAGGCAAATTTTGATTTACAATTCATCAAAACGTCTGACAGCTGAGCAGGTACTATAATATAAGATTGCATATATAAACACACATACATATATATATATATATATATATATATATGTGATATAAACAAAATTGATAAATTGTTATAGGCATTATGTCACATATATTTTTACTCCAAACCTTATCCATCAATGAAGCATCTAATAAAGCTACCACAGGATCATCGTTTACGTGTAAAACCAAAAGAAATCAATCCAAATGTCCAAGCAACGACACTTTTCGAAAATCTTCTAAGTATCATGTAATAATGTTGTATATATGCTGTATGTTAATGATATATGATCTATATGAAAGATATACACATAGAAAAAATTAAAAATCCATCAATGGCTTCAGTTAACTTAACAGATTTTATTTAATTATCATTCCTGTAAAATGCTAATATCCTCCTGAACACTTTCGGATTATAACCCATGACTACAGGTTTGGCATTTAAATATTCGGCTTTTTTGTAGAGTGTTAATGGCGGTAGAGCGTACCAAAAATTTTTCACACTGACGTCATTAGCGTCTAACGAATTAAGTTGAAATATGAAAAAATGATAGTTTTTCCCGTCCGATTGAATGCACTGCAGGGTCACAGGTTCTGGTAATTTTTTTACGGATGAGCCGAATTTTTGTCTTGCACAAAACGCTGCCATCGTGTATGCTTTTATCATGGTGCGACCAAGAATCTGGCTTTCTGTTACAGACAATTCCGTCAAATTTTTTACTTCCACTGGGTCGTAATGTACAAAGATAGTATGGACGTTTCTCCAAGGCGTTGTTGCGCTGACAGCTGTTGGATACAATATACCTGTCATATTATGAAAACAATGTATATATTGAATATAACAAGAGTAACTAAACTTACGATATATGTCTCCAGTTTTATAAATATTTGTCTGATCCAAATTAATAGTATGATGCAACGGATAGATGTTTGGAAGATTTATTTCCATATTGCAATCAGAACTTTCCAATGGTTTTAGAGGACTTGCTGACATGATCATGACATCTGAGCTTAAGGTGAATTGGAAGAGATCTGAATCTTTTTCTGGTAAAATATTTTTATATTATGCAATATTTATATTATACATATAATACTTAATATCTTTAAATATATAGTTACAGATTACCTAAATTTAATTTTGTAATCCCATCATACAATATGCATCGTTTTTTTGCAATATCTGGGCCAGACAGAGATTCACATAATTGCAAGATTTTTCTGGACAAACTCCGCCTTTGAAAATAACAAGTATATGATTAAAAAATAAATATATAAATTGTCAAAATAATTCTTAATTTGCTAACATTTTTCTGCAATCGCTTAAGCCATAAGTTCTGGGAAATACCCATGCAGGTCTTTCAGGATCTTTTATCTTTGGTAACTTATCTTGATGAGCATCAAATATATTTGAAGTATAAATTATCCTAAAAATAACAAAAAATTATGATATATATGAGATGAATATGATTTGAAAAAAAAAAAATTTAATATACCTTTTTACTATGTTATCTATATAATCTGGTAGCTCTGGAAGTGAATCTTGTATATAATTTGGAGAGCTATCTGGCAAACACACAGTATTTGTTAATATTTGTGCTTGACAAAAACCTTCTTGCAGAACATTATGATTTTGAAATATTAAACAAGTCTGAGCTTTCCAATCAGGATGTGTTTCATCAAAAAGTAATTTCGGTCTGAGTCCTTCTATTTTGATCCTGATATAAAATATAATTTGCAATTGATATTAATTAAATACATGCGATATATGAAATAATTTGTAAAATAGATTTTTAAAAAAGTACTTTGTAAAAGTCTGTTTTGGAGCGCTCACTTCTAAAGCATCCTTTACTTCAATCCCATATTTCCTGAACAAATATTTATCTGTCTTGTCATTATTTATTTGGCGTTCTCGTTTTACGTACCAAATTTTTTTCATCTGTCTGCCTATGTGTTGCTTGTATAATACTTGCGTGATCTTCATTGTATATCTTAAATCTAAAATAGATAGTTAATAATAAACGCGTGAACAAATCTTTAAGGTTATGTTTATTATTGGAAGATTCCTTTTTCTTTAATAATATTAAATTCTTCCTAAATGATATTGAGAACTGAATGTTGACAATCGTGATTACATCAAGAAAAAAATTATCGGATGAAGTTTTAAGTAATTTTACAGATTTGTAATATATTTCCTCTTTCTTCCGATTCACAAAACATATAAACTCTCATGTAAACACATAACCTCTTTTCACTTGTGAAAATTTTAAATTGCAATCGATAATCGATATCATATCGCTAAAGGAAAAGTTCAAAATTATCCTTAATTAGTCTCAATAATTGAGATAATGCAATAATTATCGATAATAAAAATAGTTAGCTTAGCAGCTTGAACAGAATAAAAAAAAATACACAATATAAATATTTTATGGTATATAATATATTTAATATCTTTAAATTAATATTTAGTACAAAATAAATTTTCCCACTTTTCACATTTCACCTATATACATATATATTTATATAGAAATTTATATATGGCAATCTATTTTTATATTTTTTATTTTTTTATATATATAAACTTTAAAGCTAATGAACTTTTTTAGCCACAGCATTGGGATTGAGAATTTTGCGCCTTTGGACAAACATATGCATATAAAGACGAGGAAAAACTGCAACAAAATGTATATATAATTTATAATTTTATTTTTTATACTATTCTATCTATTTATCTATTTATATTTGTGGAGTATATATATTGTGTACTTACGTGGTATGTAAGCTAACATAACTGTTATTAGAATATACAAATAGCTAAATGTGAAATTCCATTTGTTTGGCAAAACGTAACTCCATGAGTCAGGATTAGCATTAGAATATTGTACAGCAGCATAAAAACATAATAATTCACCAGTTACACCAATTGGATACAGTATAATAAACATGGTATATCTAAAGTCACATTTTAATTAATGTTTATACAAATTAAGCAACACCTATCAAATTAAAAATTTTTTAATAATAAATTTGTTTACCTGAGCCAGACCAGTATATGTGGCACAAAATTAACAAGATGAGCAAAGTAATAAAAGTATCTAATGATTTCTGTGATAGACCATGCAAGGAGAGCTAGAGGAAGTCCTGGAGATGCAGCAGCATATTTATAAGGAGTAGCTAAGATGACTCCGACTACAACCATTACACGGCTGAAAACTTGGAATGTTGTGATTATAACATTGGAAGGTACCAGTCCAGTTGCTGCATGTAATATCTGAAAAAAATAAGCTTTTAACCAACCATTCACAAATAAATAATGCGTGTATGTGTATGTGTACAATATACCCAGATAGTTAATTATTTATGAAGCATGATAACAATTGTTGACAACAATATGATCATATAATCATTACTCAATATGATAGCAATATAATTAATGAATATGATCAATCGTGCTTATCTGGGTATAATATGTAATTTTATATTATGTAACTTTTACATAACACTTTCAAATACTATTGCTAATAATGTTCTCACTAGAAATTTACAAATTATTAATTTTAAAAATGACTTGCTTCTGCTTATATTTTTAAAATATAAATACCTCTAATACAGCTGCATTTTGGAAAATAATTACAGCTAGCTCTGTTTTATCCCACAAGGTTTCACGAGAAGGATTAATATAATGTTGTATAATTTGATACAATATGTAACTCCATCTAAAATAAAAGAGAAAATTTTATTTTCGAAAATGTGTTGCAATAATATATAAAAGAAAATATAATATATAGAGAAAAGCTCTTTATGTAAAAATAGTAGACTAATAAATAAATTTTTTAAAGACAGAATATTTCTAAAAAGCAAATATTTTAGAGAAAGGTGAAAAAGTTACTCGTTTCCTATCTTTATAAATTTCGTTATTTCACAAATTATAAAAAAAAATCAATATACCCCAAAGTCTGTCCGAGATTATACGACGCCAGATAAAATTTCGAGAGAGCACTGGGTTTTTTGGACTTCATTCCAGCCATGTCTACAGATTTTTTTTAAACGTCTCGTTGCTTCGTGTTGAATAACTTGATGCTTCACTGAGAATGTATAATCGTTTTTTTAATATGCATGCTCAGTCATTGTGAAAATCCCTATTTATGTACACACGCAACAATCAGCTATGTATTTGATTATTAATCAAGAATGAAGACGCCAAAGTGTACTCTTTCACGAATCCAATTACATATCTCGCGGCGAATTTTTTCGCTTGTCACAAATTTCATACATATTCATTTTTTTAACTCGCAAGGTTAAGTAATACTTTTTTTTTAACCTTTTTTGCATTACGTAAGCCAGTACACACAGTACGAGTATATTTAGAGTGAAGAAAGATATGCGTGTAAATCTAAATTATTTATTATTTTTACACATCCATTCAAAAATATCTGTCAATGAAATTTCATCAAATTAATTCGGAGGTTTCTTTGCGCATGTGAAAGATTTATGAAAGGATTCTTGTCCAAATTTATCTAATTTATTTCTTCGTATATTCTGCATTCATTGATCGCACCGCATAATGGAAGATTCACACTACATCGTGTAAGTTTGATCCAATAGAAAATATTCTAATTAATGACGTCTTCATTTTTAGAGAATAAACTCTTCTATTGGATGTCGTGGATCAAACACAAGAGACGGTGTGAATCCTCCATAAGAGAACCAGCCTCGAGATTGCGTACTCGTTATCGTATAACATTTTTGTTGTAGGCGTGTGATTTGTGTGTTGATTTTCCGAATGAGATACTTGCCGTGTAAATTGCCCGCCAATCGATCGAATGAGAGAAAAAGAGCATGAAAGAAGAATAAATGAAAAAAACAGTGAGATGGAAAGGAAGATAAAATCACTTTGATGAGTCTTATTGAGAGAGAAGGATAGCTTCTGGTTTACAAAACACGTCTAAATTCTACACACGAGCGATCTGCGATGCTTTAGAAGCTCTGGAATTCGTGCAAATTAATGCACGTTATATAAAAAATTTAATGTGCGACTTGCAAATTAAAGGAATCATGTGTTTTGCACGAATCGCCGGTGAAATACTCTCGACAAGAATTCTCATGCTTAGTTTCGCACATTTTTCGATACTTGTCGGCTTCTATTACAATTTTTTATGAAGTAATAATTTTTGCCTATTTCTCTTCTTAAATAATAATATAAGACTGCGTGATTACGCAGTATTCGCCTAATTCTCTCGTACATGACAAGGGAATTTTTAAGTACATAACTGTAGTAAAGAATTAACACCAAAAAAAAATGCACAGAATCATCGAATTAATCTTAAATAGCGCCTTATTATGGATATTTTTACAAGTATTGTTGAGTGTATTAATCACTGTCCTATACGAGTTTTGCATTCCTTGGATTGTTTGGGGCTCGTTAATTATTGTGATTGCACTGAGATTGACCAGAGTATCCCCTCCGCCTATGAAATTTGTCCAAGAAGTGCTCGGTGTGAACCCACTCCTCTTAAACAAAGATAATTCTGAAAAACACAAAGAGCAATACTGCATGCGAGTGGTGGCTCATCGTGGTGGAGGACTTGATTATCCTGAAAACAGTTTGCTGGCTTTCCGAAATGTAAAATTATATAATTCAATATATATCAAGCTATATAAAATATTTGTAAAATTCCTGTTGCATTAGTCCAACAAAATACTGAGATATAAATATTTTTTTGTATTTTAGTTATTGGCTTATTTAACATAATTGCTGCTTGATAATGTAAAATGAAAGGAACTAATATAGTGTTATTTATCAATATAAAACAATAATATTTAATCATCCTATTTAATCATTAAATACTTCTATTGTATTTCTAATTATTCACTAGAAATATTTATATATTTATATTTCTACGCATATATATATGTATGCATATATATGTCGAAAATATTTAATTATACTTAACATTATCTATACTTTTTACAGAGCAAGGGAAAGGGTTGCAATGCTATAGAGCTTGATATAAGACTAACAAAAGATAACATTCCAATATTATTCCATGACCCAACAATTGAAAGACTTACAGGCCAAACAGGAACAGTTAGTGAGATGACATGGGAGGAATTGAGAGAGTTAGATATAACTTATAATCATCCACTTAGGTATGATTGTATAATTTATAATTATTTGTTTACATATGATTATGTACATATACATTTTTTCAGTCTAATTATAATTTATATATAATTATAGAATTACATAATTTATAAAATGCACCTTATATAGTAATGTAATATATATCTGAGTATTTTAATGGAAAGAAAGTATATTTTTTATCATAGAGACAAATTTTCTGATGGCGAGAGAATTGCGCTATTAGAAGATGCACTGCAAGAATGTCTGAATAGCGAACAGAGAATAATTATAGACATAAAAGAAGCACGGATGGATATCGTGCAAATTATTCTGGATATGTACAAAAAATATCCAAAGTTATTTGAAAGAGGCCTCGTCTCGAGTTTCAATCCAATCATAATATACATGGTACATATGAAAATTTTATTCAAACATTAATAATTTATACACTAGGAGGAAATATTTTCCATCTGTGAATACTCAATTTTATCTCTTAATCTTATTCAGATTCGAAAGAAAGAGCCACGTATTGTCTCGAGTCTCGCTTGGAGGCCGTATTATTTTTCGAGAGTGTCGTATACCGGCCTGGTAGCGCCCAGCGCGGCACGATTTCATAATCCGTTTAAGCATTTGGCAGCTTGCGTCTTGGAGATTTTATACGAGTGGTTATTATCTCGCTTCGTTTATTATATTATTGGTATTTCTGCTATAATATTGCACAAGGACATAGTCAATCCGTACGTAGCAATTTATTCAAATCAAATGTTTAGTGAGTTTATATCTATATATTTGTAAGAACGAATTTTTTATATGTAAACTGTGAAATATAATTTTATTTCAGACGCGTCATAGAACAATGGTACGATCGTGATGTCCGTGTAATGACATGGCCGGTAAATCGGCCGTCAGAGAAAACGCATTTCTCGAGGCTCTTCAAAATTACCTATCTAACTGATACGCTACATCTAGAGAAGGACATGTAATAAATGTCTGATATATTTGTTCAGTATTAATTTCAAAGACTTCTTATATGGTATGCTAACATTATTATATATTGTACAAATTTTTCTACTTTTATGTAGATTATATATCATGATCAATCATCTAGTCGGGTCGTAAAATTGACTTAAATTTAGAATATAAGATATTTGTTTTATAATTGGACGCAAAGAAATCTGTCGCTTTTATGTTTTGATGGAATGTATGTATGCAAAATTTTCATTTTATAAAAATAAAATTACTTTGATATAAAATATGTTTTGTGCAAAAGTATATATGTTTATGAAAAGCACACAATAACAAATTGATTTGATGTATAAAGGAAATTTAAATGAAGATAAAATGATTCTTCTGGCATTATATAATAAGATTTATTATAATTACCTAATTAGGAGTAAATTATAACTCTTAAAAAAATGCGCGCGTATGTATGTGTATGACTATGTATAAAATTTATATATAAAACTTATCCGCATTTTTATATATATATATAATCATAAAACAATTCTTTGTCAATATGAATATCAAGATATAGATTACTTCTTTCATGATTGCACAGATATATAAATACACATACAATGTCAAAAATATTTTAGTCTATCAAATATAACGACTATAATTACATTTGATCACTGTATTAAATATAACTATGTGATTATAGTGTGTGATATCTCAAATCTTTGTATACACATTATTGTTTACAGTAATTAAGTACATTCTTTCTTTGGATAATGCATAATATCATAAAATGGCACATTTATATGTTTCATAATATGCCAATGATAAGAGCTTTTAAGATTATTATTGAAATTATGCATAAAAGAAAAAGTCATTGCAACATAAAAAAAGAATATAAATTTTTAAATATATAATATTTAGATTTTAAATTTGAAGTATTAATCCTTCAAACAATAGTAGTAAGTTTACTTTTACGAGATTCCATACCTTCAATGAGGCCAGTTAATAAATCTTCCATTTCTGTTGTGGCACGTTTCAATTTACAATTGTCATTGCCATCATACGATTCTACAGAAATCATATGTAAATTAGCTATATATACATATTTGCATTAACGTGTATTATATATCGAGATAAAATTTTATTATAAAATTACTATATTTAAAAATCTAACATCTATTATTCTACTTTTCTATTTTTTATAATTACCATCAAGCAAATAGTCATTGGCAACCATATTTTGCAGTCTGTCTAGTATATCATTAAGATCTCCTTGAATATTTTGTAAACTACTATGTTGTGAATGTTTGTCAGGTCGTTGTAAGGAAGATGGAGTATTGTCTCTATGTATGCCTGTAGGTGATTGAGAAGCTATCAACGATGAATCATTATTTGTATTACTAATTGCTGCATTAGCTACAAAGTTATTTTTGCAATTCGAATTGCCAGCAGCCAACCACTGAGAGAAACCACTGTCAGCTGTACTCAATTCTCTTCTTGTTCCTAAAATTTAATTCAATACATATTTGCATAAATCTATCAATAATCATTTTTCATGTCGATATATTTTGTATATTCAGGTATATTCACCTCCAATCCAAGTACTTAATTCCATACGACTGTTTTCTGGTATATTACCGAATCCAGAATTCGTAAAAGTCTCTTGAGCACAAGAGAGAGCGTTAGCATTATCTTCTCCTGTATGCTCTATAGGTGATGAGGTATTAAAACTATCTGATATTAATTTATCTTTTCTATGAAGTGTTTTTTGTGGATCTGCAGTGTCTTGCCTAATAATCGGACTTAATTCAAATTCTAAAGGCAATGCTGTAAGTCTGGATGATAAAGGCGGTAACATTGGAGTGCTTTGCATACGAGTGATAATCTGTGGTACTTGAGTCATATCGGTAAATAAGTATTTCTGTAAAAATTAAACACAGTGTTAATGAACAATGTCTAAACAATTTTCCACTTAATATACCTTAAGCGTTTTTAATCGTTGCAATTGAGATTCGATGGTCGCTCTATGACGTTGTAATCTCTCTGCTTTGGTGCCTTGTATGTCGAGCAATTCAATTTGCAGTTGTCGATTTTCCTCTTCCAAATGCATTATGATACTTTGTAGTTCCTTTTGCGGGTCGCTGAGAATCTTTCGTTTAATGGTACTTCTCACTGAACCATAATCCATACGTCTTGTTTCATTACTATATGTAAAAAAAGTTGTTTAAGAATATTGTACAATTATATATAAAATTGTGCAGTTTACACAAACCTGGAAACATTTGCAACTGGATCCTCTATTGCGATTGTTCTAGTGGGACATAATCTCAATTTATTCCTGATCAGTTCAATGATTAGTTTTGTAACTTCACGATGTGATGTCTGCAAAAGTATTATTCTTTTAAATAATTCAATTCACATAACAGAAGAAATTTTAACATACCTTCATGCAAAATTCACGAATTGGATGCTTTAACTTATGCTTGTTTGATGTTTTGCCTAAGAGAAAACATTCTTGGCATTGATGATATCCTGTGCATTTCAAGCATGTATATCTTGGTCCTTGTATTGGTGTTATTTTACATGAAGAACATCTGATATTATGTACAACTGTAAAGAAAAATATAATTTATTTTGTTATATTTTGTTGTTATATGTAACAATTTAATTCTGTCACTTACTATGTTCTGCAGATTTTAATCGATTGAATGTTGTTATCCAGACAAGCAGAGGAGGTTCCTGCATGATCCATGTAGCAAACTCTGCTTCAGTAATTCCAAGACCTCCTTGAGACTAAAATGTGTTTTAAAAGATATTAATTTTTCATGTGTTTTAAAATAATTCATTTTTAATAAAAATAATGAATACAAAATAAATTGCATTATACCTTTACAAAACAGGTATCTATATGTGTCTGAATTTGTTCATATCCATATGTTATAGTTTCTCCAAGCATTTCTGTTATTTTACAAATATTTGTTAATAAGGTGTGCAAACCAGCTCTAGATAGACATGCATTGTGATCGGCTAGTTGCTGATACAAATATCCATACTTTTCTTGTAATTTACCATTACTCAATAATACCAATGCAACTTTTACTGAAAACACTAAAATATTTCCAGTACTTTGTCTGCAATGTTAAAAAGTTATCAGAATCTTCTTTTTCATTATGAAATTGTTTATTGATGATATTACATATATTTATAAAGATACATATTACATTTTAACATCTAAAATTATTAATATCTTAATATTATTTAGAATAAAAAGAAAAAATAACAAAAACTTACTTGTCAAAAGTAGTCAAAATATAATTTGTAGCAAGCTTTGTTACAAAATCAACATCAAAATTAAAATTACTTTCTTTCTGTGCCGCAAAATAAATATCAGATAAAACATCCTCAATCTCACTTGAGTCTAAATTAACACAATTCTCAGTGATGGAAAGTCTATGACGTTCAAATACTGCTGCTATTAATTCCAACTGTACATATTGCACTATATAAAATAAAATAGTTTAAAAAAAAAGTAAAATTTTATAAGAAATTAGATGAAATATGAGAAACTTACTATTCAATTCTTTATGTAATATCTGCATCTTTGCAGCAGTTCTATAAGATGTATAACGAATGGCATTACATCCTTGTATAGATTGCATAATATTTTCCATGGTTGAATATTGTTATTTTGAGTTTGATATGTCCGAAGATACTTTTCAAGCGTAATTTTAAATCTATTTTAATGACGAAATAGAAACTTTTTTTACATTTATATAAAGCATACGTTTTTTTATTCTATTTATATATTATTAAAAGAAATAAACTTATGCTAATGTTAAGATTTAAAGATGTTAAGATGTTAAAATTGTTAATGTTAATTTTATATGATACATGTTTCTGGATAATCTTGTTCGTACATATCTGTTTATACAACATATATACACAGCATATGTAAAACAATCTTATTTAGTGTTCTAATGCAATAAATTATGTTACAAAGAAATATTAACAGTAAAAAAAATATTAGAAGGAAAATATTACATTTAACTTTCTATTTGTATATAAATATCAACTATATAGAGACTAAATCATTTATGTATTTCTAATTAATTAAAAAATAAAATCAGCTATAATATTAATTGCACGACAGAAATAATATATGTATTAAATATATACATAAAATTATAATATTAAAATATTATAACATGTTAGAGAACAATATTAATACAGAAATTTTGAAAAAATAACTTACTCTCTATCAGTTCAACATAATTGGATAGTTTAAATATTGATGTAAACAACAAATTTACGTTTAAATCATAGATAATGAAACATATAGATAAACAAAAATGTTAAGGAATGCAAAAATTTACTAGAAATTGATTAAAAAATTAAATCAATAGATCCTGAAGAACAACCAATGACATTACTGTAATAAATGATTTAATCGTGAGTGTGTTCTGTTTGATATGCTACGAATACTGCTAAATCATTTAATTGACCAATCAGAATGAAAAAAATAAAGATCTCTTCGTTCTGATTGGTCAATCAAATAATTCGAGTCTTTTCTAGTGTTAAACGAAACGCATAAAAGTCGTAATCACACTACGGGTTGCGGGCTTCGTTGCGATTGGAGTTGACCAATCAGAGTAGTCGGTCAACAAATTGCTTTATTCTGATTGGTCAATTTCAACTGCAACCGAGCCAGCAACCCGCATAATGTGATTGCAGCTTAAAATCCGATCTTGGTATATATATACAACATACGTAACTTTGCGCAATAAATTTTGTGTTAACACATGTTGCAAAGTCAAAAATATTCAATCATGTCAGAATTCGAAGAAGGTCAATTTAGTGATGCAGAAGAAGAGGATGAAATATCTTGCATGTAAGATTATACTTTAGATGAATATATTTAATTATTAAATTATAAATTAAATAATAAATAATTAAATATAATTACTATCATTTTAATTTAAAAAATTAACCTATAACTTAATAAACTTACTAAAAAACTTACTAAATAAGAATTGAAGATATATAAATTATTTACAAAATTACAAATATTTTATACATTTAAAAAAAAAAGTCACCACTATTTATATTTTATTTTCCATAGACAGAATAAAATAAAAAAAACATTTGACGATTCCCATGTACAATTTGAGGAAAAAGTAGCCAATTTGCATATTACATGCAAAAATCATCAGAGTAAAGACAAAGATTCTCTTCAAAGTGTTTTGAAGATGAATCATTGTCTTTCCTCCGACAATGAGGATTACTGTAACAATGATTATGATTTATATGAAGATAAGAATGCTGTTATAAAAATGAATTCACAAAGACTCAACACTCAAGAAGCATCTACCAAGGTAACAAATTATCAACCAAAACATAAGTTGTTAACTCGTTACGCGAATAAGATTAACTTGGAGAAATATGCGGGTCCATCATTGCCAGATCATGTAGCCAATGTACTGATTGAAAATGACAAACGTGTTGATAAAGATCGTATAAGAATGAAAGATAAGAGCGATCATGCAACAACTGAGAATGTTTTGGATTCACGCATCAAGAAGAAATTGCATAAACTATTTGAAAGAGGAGTATTAGCTGAAATAAATGGTTGTATTTCAACTGGGAAAGAAGCCAATGTATATTATGCGAAGTCAAAAAACCAAGATGAGATTGCTATAAAAATATATAGAACATCAATCTTGACATTTAAAAATCGGGAAAAATACATTAGGGGAGAATATCGTTTTGATCATGTATACTCTTTGCACAATCCACGCAAAATGGTAAAAATCTGGGCAGAAAAGGAATTTTCCAATTTAAAGCGCTTGGAACAAGGTGGTATCAGAGCACCACGACCTCTTTTATATGGTGGTCACATGTTGCTGATGGAATTTCTGGGTTCAGATGGTTGGGCGTCACCTAAATTAAAGGACGCTATACTTACAGAATCGAAATCGAGGATGTTATATAGAGAGTGTATTGAAATTATGTGGAAGATGTATAACAAGTGTAGGCTTGTTCATGCTGATTTAAGTGAATATAATATATTATATCACAATGGATCGGTTGTAGTCATTGATGTTTCACAAGCAGTAGATCGTGATCATTGTAATGCAATTGAATTTCTAAGGAATGACTGTAGCAATATTACAGGTATGGCAGAAAAGTATTTTATGACATTTTTACTTAGAATATTAAAAATATTCATTTCTGATTTTTGATTCTGATATTTTAATTATTCTTTTCAGCTTTTTTCAAAAAGCACAACGTGGGAGTTATGTCACTTCAAGCACTCTTTGATTTCATAACAGATCCAACCATAAATGAAAAAAATATGGATGAATATCTAGATATCCAAATGCAAGAGGCAAATGAAGAAATTGATCCACAGCAACAAATAGAAGAGGCAGTTTTTAAGCAAGCTTATATTCCTCAAAGATTAACTCAGGTATTGATTATAAATGCATGGAATGTGTAATTTTCATTTGAATAAATTTAAATAATATATCTATTTAAAAGATATAAACTTTAATTTTGTGTATTCTTTTATAGGTGGTCAATGTAGAACGTGATATAAATCTTGCAAAATCTGGGAAAGATTTGATTTACAAGACATTAATTGGTTTAAAAGCAGATTTATCTAAGCCTGCAGAAACACCTGAGATCTTAGCTAATAAACATAAAAAAAATAATAAAGATGTAGAAGAAGAAAACAGTTGCTCTTCCTCTTCTGAAGATAGTGATAATTCTGATAGTGAAAACGATAGCGAAACACAAAGCGACGATAATAAGAGCAAATTTGTAAATTCGGCTAGACCCCGAAACGAAAGCCCTGACAGTAAAAAAGTAAGATACACGTTTTTTTTTCTGCACTATTATTTAATTGTATAAATTATCTTTAATTTTAGGCGCGTAAGAAAGCAGTCAAAGAACAACAAGCAGAGAAAAGGAAAATTAAAGTAAAAAAACATGTCAAGAAACGTAAGATAAAAGTATCAAGAGGGGGAAAATAAATAAATTCATGTAAGAAAATTAAAAAGATTATATAATGTATATTCGCAATGATAATAATTTGACAATCTTAAACGAGTGTCATTCTTATAAGTAATGTAACATATGTTAACATATGTAACAAAAAAAAGTACAAAAAGTAGCTAATTATTTAAGGCGAACTTGCATGTGAAAATATATATATATGCACTAGATATTTTTTTATTAGTAAAATTTTATAGAGACTTTTATGTCATTTTGTAAAATATTTTTCTTCATGGACAGAAGATGGCGTTGTATTACAAGAAAAATAACGAATACCATCTAATATTCAATTTATTCGTGATGTAACTCATTTAAAAAGAGAATTTTGTTCGAGTTATTATTTACTAAATAATGTAGTCACAATATATGTATATACGCACAAAGATCAGTATATTTTAACATATGAATTTAGCGTATGGCGAAACTTATATGAGAAATTCATATATGTTTTAATATAAGCATAAATTCATGTGTCGAGCCATTTTTATTCCTGCGTATGTATGTAAGTATGTATTCGATATATCATGACTTTACCCGCGAGAATGTCAAGGTTCGTTCGAACGCGTGATGCGCGTAAACATAATACACGCATGTATGTGTGCCAATAGTTCTTTTAAGAAAATACTTAGGACTGAAACAGTTTCACCAACTGGTCAATTGAGTTTTTTGTATCAGTGATTGGTAGAACTGTCTCATATATGAAATAGTTGAATTGAACTTTTTTGAAAAGTTTATTCGTCGTTGTCGCGATATTAACGTCCGGAATAAGTGGAATATATTTGTAAGTTATATACAATTTTATTATTAATAAATAGTTGATTGCTCTCGAAATACGATACTCGATTATACGATAAGAATCAAAATTATAAATTATTACTTTGTTGCAATCTTTACAGCAATGATTATTCTTCTATTTCTATTTCGTTTCTATCCTAATATATATGTGTACACACACACACACACACATTTAGAATTCTAATATAATAAATAAATATTCTCTCTGATATCATTTGATCTAAATATAATTTGATTCAGAACGCGCAATAAAACGATTGAATAAAAATCGGATAATTAACATAACGGAAATATATATTTTTAAAGTTATATACAAGTGTATTTATATACAAGTATATCTTTAAAGTCACACACACACACACACACGTACACGCGGATTAATTATTTATTAAACACACATCTTTAAAGTCACACACACACGTACACGTACACACGGATTAATAATTTATTAAACACATATCTTTAAACTCACACACACTCACACACACACGTACACGTACACACGGATTAATTATTTATTAAACGATTAATATACTTCGTGAAGTTATTTCCATTTTTATTTGCAATTATGATCTTTAATAAAGATTTCTCATCATAATAAAAAAAATTTATATCGTTTATCAAAAGTTTAAATTAGATTTAAAAGTATATTATTGCTTCTTTTCGATAATAATTGATTATTTCACTGTATCTATTTCGTGAATAACTATCATTACAGAGATCGCGTAGAGTTTGACAATGCAATAAAATTAATAATAAAATTCCAATAAAATTAAATACAAATTAATTATAATAATTAAATATAAATTTGTTTATAATTAACTTTTTCTACGTTGAGAAAAGTTCTTTGTTTCTTTTGGAATATCTTAAAGATTCTTTTAATTAAATTTTACAAAATATATAACTATTAAATTTATAGTATTTAATATTTAGAAATAAATAGATAATATTTTATTTTTATATAGATTAAGTATACGATATTATTTATTAAAAGAACTAATATATCTTTTATGGATCTTTTTGTTAAGTTAATTATTTAGATCTATTCGATTGTTTTACTGCATTTCAATCCGAATTATATATTTAAATGATCGAAAAATAAAACGATAATAAAATAATAAGTAATATATCTATTTTAAAAATAGTGTATATAAATAATAAATAATAAATAATTTTTAGAAATTACTCACCGCATGTCTCTGGCTGCTTCAGGCTCTCTCCCTGCTTTCTGACTGTCCGATACTTTTCCAGATGTCCTTCTCTTTTGTTGTTTCATCCTTTGTTGTTTCCTCGTAGCAGTCACGTATTCACTCGCGAACAAACAATTATATTTCAGTTAATTATATTTCAGTCATATACAGAAACGATCGCGAGACACTTTGCACGGCACTCCCGATCGCAAAATAATCATACGAGATACGTAGTATTTTTATAATATTATTATTATTTTATTGTTATTGTAAGAGAGGAACACAAAAATTACAATAATTCGCTCGATTTTTAAACGAAGCCAAAATCATGCACCACTCGATTCTTACACTAATTAACTATTTCTATTTGTTGATGTATAATATATGCATAATAACGCGAATCATAAGATTAAAATATTAAAGTAATGTAAATTGATGATACAGCAATCGTTTAATTAATATGATATATATGCATGCAATTTAGGAAAGTTTAAAACATCGGGTGAAATCGAATTTCATTCTATGCAATGTTAAAGAAATAATTATTATTCGTAAAGTTCGATAATCGGAGAATATTGCGAGAAAATTTGTAATTTTTGCCCCTTTCGCTTCAATTTTTATTTGCAATAATGAAAGATCGCGTTTCGATGAATTTATCGTCGCCACAATTTCATGTCATTTATTAATTAATTATTTGTCAATTGTAATAGTCGAATTATTATATTTCGATCTAATCGCGATCGTACTTTTAGGAAAAGAATTCGATAATACGGAGCGTTTCGTATCACTATTTTACCGCTGGAATGTCGTCGTGCGAATGATAGGGGGTCGTCGTATGTATAATAAACAATAGCGCGCTACGTCACAAGGTCGAATGACGTGTTAGCTCGCTGCCGAAATATTTAACGCGTACTTTGACGTATGTGAGAATTGTATTTATATACAAGTATATTTTTAAAGTCACACACACACACACACACACACACACACACACACACTCACGTACACTGAGAAAAAAAGTTGTTAACCGTTTAACTAAATTATTTTTTTTTAAATTGAAATATCGAAATATTTAAGTTAAATAAATGTCATGTTAGATTTATAATAGTTAAATATTCCAATTAAAAAGATAATAATTTAGTTAAATGGTTTAGTTAAGTTAACAACTTTTTTTCTCAGTGTACACAGATTAATTATTTATTAAACCTCACGAGATGTATTAATCGTTTAATAATATAAGTGTATTTATATCCAAGTATATTTTTAAAGTCTCACACACACACGTACATTGAGAAAAAAAAGTTGTTAACTCAACTAAACCGTTTAACTAAATTATTATTTTTTTAATTAAAATATTGAAATATTTAAGTTAAATAAATGTCATGTTAGATTTATAATAGTTAAATATTCCAGTTAAAAAGATAATAATTTAGTTAAATGGTTTAGTTAAGTTAACAACTTTTTTTCTTTTACAATTAGTCTTTTCTCTGTCTACTATTTGATTATTTTATTACGCTTTTATAAGGTCAGGTTCTATAATGTAACTTTTAATTTTGTATTTCATATGAAATTATTATTTTAAACATAATAATTTTCTTTCTTTGCATTTCTATCATGAATAGACATTTCCAACGTTTACTAAAAAAACTAAAAATATCCCTCAATTCTTTCTCTCTTCGGACAATTTATTTACATTTATATATAATTCTCTTTATTCTTTTAAAAGTGAACATCGAGAACAAGGTACACGAGTATTGTAAATGTCAAAAAATGATCGCGCGAATATTATAGTTGTGAATATATAAAAATAAATGCAATATACTATGAATGTTTTCTACGTTATATATTGAATCAAAATTGCACAAAAGAGGAAAAGAAGAACAAGCCTATGAATAGACATTTCCATCCTTTACTAAAAAAAAAAAATTTTAAATATCTCTCAATTTTTTCTCTCTTTCTTCGGGCAGGTCTACATATATGATCAATATGATTAATTGATTCCATCTTTATATATTTATCATTATGTGCTATTAATTAAAGCCGTAGACAATATTCAGAAATCAAAGTTGTGCGAACGTTGCGCGCAGGAATGGCCATGTGCAGAAACGAATGCGCACTGGTTCGGCCGCCATGTTGGCGCGTGACTGCTACGTCATACGCGTCATAGCTACGTCATACGCGTCATACGTGACTCGGAGTCATACGCAGTTACACGGATCGTCGTACGTCCGCATTTTTCGCGTCTTTTAACCGTTTTTAAACGAATATCGCGAATGAAAGAGCGTCGAAAGTGTTCAAGGATGATCGCGCGACTTTCATAATATGTCAGTGAAAGTGCGCGACATCTGTTTTTAACAGCTCAGTGATAGCTCGATCGCGAAGATGGAGCGAAGTCGCGTCGCGTTATTTGCGCCCTTGATGATGATTATCGAGCGATATGATGCGAGCGAATATCGGGAGTGCCGAATAAAGTGTCGCGCGTTTGCGTTGATGATATCGTGTGCATCAAGATCAGAATGGGACGTCCCGAGGCGAGCGAGTGGAGCGGCCTGTGGAACAGCCTGTGAACGGTGAGTAGATTTGATTTATCATATTTGCGTGACAATTCGTGCTCATTCGACACTTATACAGCATCGCGATGTCTCGAATTACGTTCGAACAAATCAGCGCCGCATTATAATTCGATGCGATGCCGTGCAAATAAAGTCGATCGCGTGAAGATGATTAGGCTAGAAGCGATTTTAAATTTATTTTGTATACGCGCAGTGTTGCACAGCCTATCTCGTAGGGCTGCCAACTGTCAAACGATAAATTTTTTCGATCTAACCTAACCTAACCTAACCTCTCCGACGCCATTTTTGCTCTATCTTATCTTATTGAGATCAAAATTGCGGTACTTTGTTAATCTAGTGACTTTAATCAAAAGTATAGTATTGAAAATGATCTTTAAAATGGACGATTTGCTAGGTATTGTTAAAAAAAAAGATTTTTTCTATTATTAAATAAGAATATTTTGATTATATATGTATTATATATAAAATTTTTACTATGCGATTATACAGTGACAGACGCGGCCTCTATTAAAGAGAAATTTCTCACAACCGGTTGTTCGAAATTGGACATAATATTAAAGGGCGGTATACCTTGTCGAGGTATCACGCAAATTTACGGTGCTGCTGGCACGGGAAAGACGCAGTTGGCTTTACAATTGTGTCTCTCTGTCCAACTGCCAGTAACTGCAGGCGGTCTCGGAGCTGGTAACAATCAAAAAGTCTGAAATAATAATACAATATGCTAACACAGAAAATAAGGCAACAAATAAAAATCTCATGTAGTCTTGGAATTTGATATATCTTCTATAAATCCTTAACATAAAAATTCAACAAATATCTTAAATATTTTTTAAAATAAAAACAAATTTTAATCAAATTTATAAATAATGGTCTTCTATCATGTTTTTTCTTTTTTCTTTCAATTATTTTATATTTTTCAAATATTCATAATATTGTATAAATTAAAATGTATGATGATGGAATATAATTTAATGTTAACAGGTGCGATATACATTAGCACAGAAACTGCTTTTCCATCAGAACGTTTGCAACAATTGTTACAAAGCTCAGAAATAGCTAAAGCTCATTCTGTTAATGGAGATGTAATATTTGTGAACCATATAGCCACTATTGTAATTACAACATTATAATATTAAAATTTATCATATATATTTAGTTTGTTAATCATACATTTATTAAAAGACAATTTAAAACTAACAATTAATATAAATGCTCTAATTATATTACTAATTTTTAAAATATTAATTTGTGGAATAAATATCAATGATTATTTACTCATACATAATAATTGATATATAATACATGTTTAAGGATGAATTAGAATTATGTCTGCAACGTAAAGTTCCAGCTCTGATGAATATTCATAAAATAGGATTATTAGTTATCGATTCAATAGCAGCTCCTTATAGAGTAGAAGATTGGAAAGATCAATTACAAGGCAAAAGTAAAAGAAATGTTGGAAGGCAATTACATGAACTTTGTAAAAACAATAATTTGTGTGTGATCTGCATTAATCAGGTAAAGAAATATTAAAATAATTGTTAAAATAAATATCAAATTTAGAGTAGACATTAAATTTTTATATATTTTTAGGTTTCTGCAGTTATAGATAGTCACAGTGTTATTTCTGAAGATGCAATTGAACAACCAGTTTTAGGATTTACTTGGTCAAGCATGATCACCTCTTCCATATATTTTTACAGAAGAAATTCTGCGCGATATGCCTGTATAATGCTAGCTTCGCACTTGCCAAGAATTACTTTTCAATTCATAGTGAGTCAATCTGGAGTCAAAGTGACGCAATAAATCTGCGCATCATATATAACAAAAATTCTCAATTTTATTTCATTAGTTTATTTATATTGTGAAATATATTTTCATCGAAGATTTTTATTATATTTTTCACTTTATAATCAGATAATATGGAAGCATTAAATGGATCTATTGTTCTTACATCTATATTTTCAATATCACAGTTTAATATTAATCTAAAAAATAAATAGAAAATTAGTAAACTAATTAATTCAAATAGCGAGTTTCTATATAAATTTTACCTAAGAGAATGGAGATAAGTTCTATGAGGCTGTATATCTTTGCCATCACTATATGTATAATCTCCGATAACTGTATGACCAATATAATGACAATGTACTCTCAATTGATGCCGTCTGCCTGTGCCAGGTGCAAGTAATATTTTAGTAGCAGGCTTGTTTTTCCAAAATCCATGTTCCAACACCATCAATACTGTATAAGAATTACGTGGCTTTTCACAAAAGACACTGTCATTTGTACACATTTTATGATTACCATTTTTTTCACGAATATCATCGCCTAATTAAAGAAAAGATAAAATTAAATCTTTAATCTTGTTCTAATATTATTATACTATATTCTAATATTATTATATTCTATTACTTTAATAGCTAACCAATAGGCTTGTTGATTATGACATGAGGTTCACGTATATGACCATGTACCAATGCTAAGTAGAACTTTTGTACTTTTTGATTTTCAAAAGCAAACGATGCTGCTCTGGCTGCTTTTTTATTTAATGCTATGCACATGATGCCGCTCGTAGGATAATCCAGCCGATGTACAAAATAAAATTCGTGGCATAGTTTCGGGTTAACCAAGTCTGGCAGCATTTTTCGCAATTCCAATTGAACAGTATTCTGAAAACACAATGTTTGATTGATATAAGAATATATTTTATTCGTATCCATCACAAGCAAATATATTTTCACCTTTCTGTCAGGATTATTACTATTTATATACATATCATAGGGCTTATCGATTACTAAAAAGTTCTCACTGCGATGCACAATCTTGACATTATATTTCTTGTTCCAATTATTGACTAATCTCTCAATATATTGTTGTATTAGACAAATAATTGAATGTATAAAATTATAGACAATCAGAATGATGTATAAAAATCTATCAACATTTATTTTAACCATTATAAAGTAAAATATTGTTTATTTTGACTTGACGATGTTTCCACTTCGCGGCCATTTTATCCAGGTAAAAGTGTCGTAAGAGAGGAGCATAGCATATATGTATACACACACACACATATATGCATTTAAAAAAATATTTTAATATATGTTATATAAATCTCATATTTTTATAAATTTTCTTTTATGTTATGGCATAAGATTATTTTTAATGTATCGCTGATATATGAATAAACAAAGCTCTGTGAATTTGCATGAAAAGATGTATGAAACTGCGCGAAAGAAATGCATAAGAATCAGGAAAAATGTAGATGTCCTCATCTCTTTTTTTCAAGCGTGCAACCGAGAATTAAATATAAATATTTTTAGTGATTGAAACTATTAAATACCTTGCATATTAAAAAAAATGCACCTTTGCATATTAAAAAAAAGTCGTCCATTATTTTTTCTAAAGAAAATTTCCAGTTGTTTATTATATTTTTAAAGAAAAACAAATTATTGCTTCTGAAAAAATATGCATTTCTTGGTTTAAAACTTTTTCATCTGTACTCTCAGAGCATAGCGATAATAAAATTAGCGTGAGAACTTTTTAGCTTTGCATATCACACGGATAATTGATGACGATCGAGACACAGTGTAGAAATTTGTATGAAGCGACTGGGATACACACACGCGTTCTTATTTACACAGATGACACAAAGCCCGTACTAAGAGATATGTATCTAGAGAAGAATCGTGTTCCATACAAAACATCTCTCGACGTGTATTCGCACAAGGCGATTGCGTTTACCATACCTGCTCAACATAAAATGTAATCGAATGATCGAGCGGATGAAAGGATAGTGTACAAACATATATGCACACGTTCTTTTATTTTCCTACGATAATTTATTTATTTATTTTAATTCCATTTTATACTATAATAGTTAAAGAATTAATATAGAGATAATTATATATTTACGCGAAGAATTTATTAAAGAATCTCTCTTTACATCATAAATACGTTAGTCCAATTAATCAAGGATTAATTTAGAAATAAAATTGCACATATATTGCTTGTATTTATAATTATGCTTGTATTAAATTATATTATATAATTATATTAATCTTATATTGATATAAGATTGATATAAGATTATTATTTATAGATATCTAACTTGTGTATCATATGATAAATTTACTTTTACGATTTTAATTTATCTTATTCTCCAAATATTTATCCAAATCAGATAAATCAGAATAAAATAAATTAAAATCGTAAAAGCAAATTTTTTTGAGAAAATTAAGTGTTCAATGATCACTTTAAATATACTTATATACTTACTTGATGTTCTATATACACAAGCGTACGCACATACATACAACTATAATGTGTGCATATATCTTGTCCGGGGAAAATTTGTGCAATCCGAGCACTCGTATGCAGCTGATGGTAGGCTGGATGAGACAGAGATACATTATGCAAGTTTGCGTCACGCGGGTTTATTGCGACAGTTCTACGAAGAAGCCACGGCTGTTTAGGCTTCTTATAATTGGAGGACATTTCACGTGCCTGTCAACGGCATCTTGACGCGTCGATCGCGCCATTAAAGCCTTTCTTCTGATTTCCCTGCAAAATTATTAGAGATTGAGTAATGGAATATAGTTATGTATGTGTCATAATCAATTAACTGTGACAGGCATTGTGCCATATAAGTTTCAATTTTATATTACGCAACTTTATCAATAATCTTATTATAAAATCTCTTTATACATTTCCATTTGTCACTCGATAAATTTTTGGATTGATATTATAACAATTTTTTTCTCAGTCCTTACGTCAAGAAGATAATTTTTATATTAAAACATGTGGTCAAGTACGTTTTTATAGTTTTGTTTATAGAGAGGCGATGTTAGAATGTGTCAAAGATTGTTAAAAGCTCCACTTGTGTTGTGAGATAATTTAGAGACGTTCAAGATGATTGCGAGTTAACGATTCATCGGCGCAACACCGACTCGGGAATCGCGATCGAAGAGATATAGAGCGCGAATCTGCTCGTGATTACGCTTACTTGTACGCCGATCTGGCTCTCTTTTCCATCGTCACCGTCGATTCCGCGTGGCATCTCGTGACACACTTGCATCGAACTATTGCTGTAAATCTTACCGATTGCACCAAACTATGATCTAGAAACGCGGATGAGTCCCGGGATATATAAAGAGCGAAGCGGACCCCATGTTTGTCATTCCCTCGAGACTATCCTGTGCTGGAAGGGTAGAAAAGCGAGAGCAGGGAGAACGACTCTCCCTTGGAGGGATAAAGTAACAAAAATTTGTTTTCTTTGCCGCTGGAAAGCACCGAGTATCTTCAATATGTTTAAGGTGAGAAAAAATGAAAAAATAAAACATATATTTCGATTCTAGTGTTTATCAAATTTGAAATTAACGATAAATTTTTGTTAGATTTTTTTCGGATATATTTATTATAATTTAGAAATAATTGCCGAAAAAAAAAGTCAATCACAAAGAATTCATCATCTATACATTTGTTTTTGGCGTCAATGACATCTTTCAATAAATTTACATTTCATAAATATATATAGATTTTTTTTCATAAATATGTAGTTATGATTTTATCAAAAATTGATACAAAAATATTTATGTAATATATCATAAATTCTATATTGCAATTAATTTTATGACAGTAAGAATTATTTAATTGTGTTTGAAAAACAGAAACTATTTAAAAAATAAAAGAAATTCTCTATGATTACTTTTTCATGCAAAAGAAAAATCTTGCGGAAGATACATTTACATAATAATAATGCATAAAATCCTTATTACAGATCGGTATAATAACGTTTATCACGCTGGCGATGACGCGTTCGGAACCTCCGGTCAATTCGTATTTACCTTCACGAACAGGAATCTCTGGTGCGAATGATGGTCAAGCCGATCTGTCCACCCAATATGGCACGCCGGATTTTGGTAACGGGGGTAATGCTAATAGAAACGGTGGCGCAACAAGTTTCAGCGGACCCGGTGGTAATGGCGCAGGTAATGGTCCGTCGAAACTTTACGATGCACCCATCGGAGGAAATGCCCGCGTAAATGGTCTAGGTCAATCTCGAAGAAATGGATTTGGGAATGGACAATCCTCTTCTTATAGTGCTTCAAGTTTTGGAGATTTTAGTGAAACCGGCGGTAATGTACGACCGTCGAGTAGCTATGGGGTTCCTATTGCAAATGGAAACAACGGAGATGGTTTTCGAAACGGCGACAATGGAGACAAGCCATCGATTAATTATGGTGTACCTGGTATAAATGGAAATAACGGAGATAGAAATCGGGGAAATGGGGAAAGACCATCGACTAATTATGGTGCTCCTGGCGCAAATGGAAACCATGGAGGTGGTTCTAGTGGAAACAATAATAATGGAAGGCCTTCTACTAGTTATGGAGTACCTGCAAATGGAAATACGAACGGCAAAAATCATTTCAATGGGGGAAGTAATGGAAATGGTGGAAAACTGTCGAGTAATTATGAATCTCCGAATGTACCTAAAATAAACGGATTCGGTACCAATGGAGGCTTATCAAGCAGTTATGGTCCACCTGATAGAAATGGACATGGAAACAATGGTTATCCATCTGAAAGCCCAACTAGAAATGGAGAAGGTTTCAGAAATGGTGGTGCTAATGGCTATCCATCTGGAGGAGGCACAAATGGACATGTAGGCAACTTTGAAAACGGCGGTGGAAGTTTTAAAAATGAAGGAAGAGGAAACGGAGGTTACAACGACAATGCACAAGAAGAGAGCACTGTAAGCATGTCTCATTGAAATAATTAAATATCAAAGACGTATGAAAGATAATTAATACAAAAATCACAAAAAAAATTTCTTCATACATATTTATATCCCTTTAATATTTTTATTAAATATTTGATTCTGATTAAATAACACATTTATTTTAGATGTGTATTTGAAGATCTGTTCTTTTACTTTCAGGAGCCAGCAAAATATGAATTTTCGTACGAAGTAAAGGATGAGCAATCTGGCAGCAATTACGGTCATAAGGAAACTAGAAACGGTGATCACGCTCAAGGAGAGTTCAACGTTTTACTTCCAGATGGTAGAAAACAGATTGTCGAGTATGAGGCTGATCAGGATGGATTTAAACCGCAAATTAGATATGAAGGCGAAGCAAATACGGGTGGAGGATATAGCTCTGGCGGACCGAATGGTAACAACGACGGTTATTCTTCTGGTAGACCGGATAGCAAAAGTGGCGGCTTTGCAGATAACTCGGGATTTAATGGAGGCGGTACTAATGGATATCCAAACGGTAGCCCTGGCGAGGGAAAGCCCAATGGATTTAATGGAGGTGGCAACGGTTATCAATCAGGAAAGTCAGGTGCGATAAGATTGCAATCCTTTGTTTTTCATTCGACACGAATAACAAATGGCAATTTAAAAAAAGAACTTATTTTGTGTTAAATAACACTTAACTTTTGTAATAAATGTAATAGATTATTTAAATTCTATTTTCATAACTTTTATATAAACAACTAGTTTTTAGTAATACTATGTATAAGAGTGTACTCCAATATTTAATTTTTCTTTTTTCCTTAAATAATTTAAAAGAAAGAGTACATATCATTTTCATAAAAATAATCTAAAAATTACATTACATGTATATACATTTAATTATATATATATATATATAAATATATATATATTCCATCCGTTTTTCTGACACTCTGGATTGAGAATCATTTTACATTTTGCAGCAGGACAATCCTTTAGCCGAGATAATGATAATAATTTGAATGGCAATATCGGCGGGTACTTCTCCAATGCTCCTAGCAATCATATCGGTGACAACGCGGATATCGGGAATAACAGACAAAATGGTAATGGTGGATATCAATATTAAAGAACATATAATTTAATAGAATTAAAGATTCTTGTTTTAAAAAAGGATAAATAAGTGAATGAAGGAATTTGTTTCTTGTAAAAATTTATCTGTATATTTAGCGATGGAAAACTATTACGAGATTTTCATCATTCTTCTACAAAAATGATAAATTTATCAGAATGTCAAGTTACATAAGTCAAATAACTACTAAACTCTTCAAAATTATAAAATTCATTAATTGATATTTATTATTGATATTACTACATCGCATTATGTGTTCATATAGTATGATTTATTTAAATCCCTGTAGTAGCCTTTAGTTGAGTAAAAGAATAAACGCATGTATAATCGATATAGATAAAAATTTTCTCTCAAAAATACCAAGTGAAAATAAAATTAAAGTGAAAATAAAATTAAACATTAAACTTTGATAAAATTAAATATTAAGCCGTTAATTCAAACATTAATGTGATTGCATGCAATTATACCATATGGAATAATTTTGTTCTCTTACGTCAGATTAATTTCACACTTCCGCGGCGTACTTGAGGACTCTTAAGAGTCGCTTAATGGGTGTATAAAGGGTATGATAAAGGCATAAAAATACGATGCCGATGTATAATTACGCAACTCCGTATCCGGCCTTGCGTTATATCGTGCGACTCGTTTGCTCGGTCGTCGACAGGAAGTCGAGGGCCCGGTCCGCCGCCACGTGTGAATCTCCGAGTGTTAAAATGTGCGCGCGTTGCATCGGTTGCAATTTCCCAAACGGCCCACGCGATGTGCTCCGAGACACCGGATCGTAAAAGGTAAGGTAGAAATCACTTCTGATTTCATTGTTGCCGAATTAATCCGAGCGCAACGACGCGAAATGAAATCCGGTCAATCCGGAAAAATAAAAATATTCCATCTAGACATGTGCAAAATATATGCGTAGACGTAATGTTCAATCTATGATTATTTTGTACTGCAAAGAGATAAAAGATTGAGATTATCTATATATTTTTTGATGTGAGAGTTCGACGTAAAAATGTCCTACTCCTCTTTAAAATTAATTTATTTAAAACCTGGAAATATTTATGCCAGCGCCTTTTTTATTTTCTAAAAAATAAATATTCTATAGAAATATATATTTTTTTGAAATTTCATAAATCCAGATTTATAAGATATATAATATATATTTTTGTGTCACATGATGCTATTGTGCGCGTTAGTTAGATGGTGAATTACATGTCGCAGCGTGAAATTCTCGAGCATTGAAACGAAGCGACACATCGGTAATATTTCATAATTAGTTGCGATTCAATTTGTACGGCGACGAGATATGCGTTGCGTGTATGCGTAGACGCACGCGCGCAAATGCGTATAAATATAGCCGGTGCAACCAGGAACAAGAGAAACAGGTTCCAGCTACGGTACCGTAGATCCTTAAGGCATCATTGAACGAATGGTAAACCAGCTGCGCCCGTTGCTCGGGATTTCACTGTAAATGTCAATCTACGGCACGTAAAACGTCCCACCGATTTAAAGGAAAGTCGTTCGGCCGAGCCGTTGCACGATTGCGAAGGGCTGGAAGACGCGAAGAGGGTGTCCATTCAACGACACACGCCCCTGGAGAATACTTTATCTTTCGCAATTTCCGCCGGATCGACGAGAAATCCCAGCAGAAAAGTGTTAGCGGAGAAATGATTCGTTTATCGTTAATCTTTAATGCGTAGATAATGTTTCTAAAAAATTCAACTACAACTAATAAACATTATACAACAAAAAAAAGAAAACAGGAAATAAATGGATAATATTCTTAATTTTTTGTCAATAAATTTCGTTCCATTATATGAGATAATATAAATCTACGAATATACAATTTAAAGATCTTGTCAAGTCATCAAATATTGAAAATAAAGCAGGAGGTGAGATGTAAAAAAAATTCGCAAAATGGGAGCGGCCTAATTAAGAGCCGAAAACGGTGCGCAAATTCTTCAAATATGATTGCTATTAATGTGGAAAAAACCTCTAATGCTGTCCCGACCTCTTTAGCACGGCTTTCTTGGCTGTTTTAATTTCAAACGATGAAAAAGATTCCTAGAGATGTTCGTAGAAAAAAAATCTGCGCATTGAAGCAACGTAACCCCGTTACGCTTAAACAGAGATACTTATCGAGCACATTAGAAAGTTCCGGACTTTATGAAAGTACATGAGCTCAAGCATCGTTAATTACTGTTGCTTCGCAAGCGCGAAGTGGTCTAATGTCTAAGGATGCTAAACGCCACCCTTGCAACCAAGGATCGGACTAATTATTTTACAGCACTGTGAAAATTATCAGACTAATACAAAGTGATTTTACATTCTATTGTTCTTCCTCCCAGTAAAGTCAAAAAATTCATCATCTGTATAAAATATCTCAAGCTCTTTCTATATATTAATGTTCGTTATTTCTTCATTTTTCTACATTAATATTATATTAATTTATAATATTATAAATTAAGAAATGTTATTTTTTAATGTTTGTTACAATTTATTATTATAATATCGAACACGATTAAAATCTTGCACGTTAAAAAAAACATTTATTAATATTTATTCTAATTAATTTTATAAAATCTTAATTGATTGAGAGAAATAAAGATCAATTTAGCAAGGATGAGAATGAACGTTACTAGCACTTGAAAGTTACTGTAATCCTTTCTTATAGGCATTACGTTTTTCTATCTGGATAAACGTTACAGCAGAAGAAAATTATCCTATTTAGAAAAATAAATTCATTTAATAATTTTCACGTCTCTCGATTTGTAACATTTCGCGATGATACGACTTGTTACCAGGCGCCCTTACGTATGAATGTTTTCGGCCATATTCGGCGATGCGTCCGGGCGTCTTTACGGTCCAAGACCTGCCGGTAATCTCCGGCCATTCTTTCTCTCTGCCTTCCTCCTTTCCCCCTAACTCCCTCTCACTCTTCTCGAAACGTAATCGTTTTTGCAGCCGGTCCGGTTCTTGGCGTCACCGACCTACCGGAACGCGTCGCGCCGGGCTCGAGAGTCTGTCCGACTAGGACCAGAAAGGACAAAACGGACACGCGGAAATTCTACTGTGATCTTCTTGCGCACCTGCAAGGGTCCAAGGAAATTCAGGTATCGAGATGAGACTCTTTCATCTTTTCCAAAATTCGCGAAATAAAGCCTCTCGTCGATTCTTTTTTTCCACAAGTTTAATATCTTTACATTTTGCTCGAAATAAAAATATGAAAATAATTTGAATTGAAATATACGTGTCTAAGAAATAAATATCTTTGAATAATTTAAAATAATGTAAATTTTCTTTAACTTTTAGAGAAAAATTCCTCGTCAAGATTCCATCTTGTCGAGAAATGCTTGAACCGTGAGAAGTATTATCGAAAAAATGCCACCTTGGCAACAATTAAAAATTGTGCTACTAAATTCAGATTTAATATAATGGAGACGCAAAAGAAAGTATACAGACTCTGAGAGAGAAATATCTACACAGATTTCATTTTACAATTTGATTCCTTTATATAAATCCAAGGAATCGTCGAGTAAATTCACTTCGACGTTGTCGCAGCTATTTCTCTGGCGAGGATTTATCGAGAGGATCCCTCCGAACGGGTCTTAAACCGGGTGACTCCTCGCAAGACGCAGGACAACGTATCGAAAGAAAAATCCAAAAATATCTTCAGGACCCGTTCGCGATCCCATACGAAGAAGGAGAGAGATCCCTGCATCGGGGCAGACAGAAAGAAAGAAAATAAGAGAGAGAAGGAGAACACGAGGGGGAAAGAGAGAAAGAGAGGATGACCCCTACTCCATTCGGCGGAGAGCAGCACCCCACCACGAATGGCAAACGCACGCAGCGAAGGGGTAGAGCGGTGGCAGAGGACGAGAGCGAGAGGACGAAGAGAGAGATTCAAGGAGAGAGACGGAGAGGAGAGACCGGCGCTGCTGCGAGTTTTCGGAACAGTCGGCGGCGGCGGTGGAGCCAGTTTCTCGTAGCTGCTCGCACGGCGGCATCGTGCCTGCCGTGTGTATCGCTTCTCTTCAGTATGAAGCCGACGATCGTGCCAGCTGCAGCGGCTGCACCTGCCGCGACGACGTCTTGCGCGAGGACGCGCGACCACCGTGTTGCACCCAGCCGCGCCTGCGACTCGCGTCGAGGTACTTCCTGATCAGTGGATATCCGCGTATCCTGACATTCCGTCCTCGTCTCGTCGAGGGGATCTCCTCGGCGGGGAGATCGTCTCCGCTAAAACGGATCGATCGCCGGCCGCACAGCCGGAAGGGGAACCGCGATCGTTGACACTCTTTCTCTCGACAAAGAGTGCCGAAATTCGCCGAGGCGCGTGCTCGTGCACGTGTCCCGCCCAGATGGACAGACATAATCGCGCGTGCACCCAGTATACGCCGGCGAGTTGTCGCGTGTGAAAGAAACTGTGCGACTTGGAGGAGACCGGCTTGGACTAAAAAGTGAAAACTCGTCCTTCGATTCTGTACAACGTCTTGATATCGGATCCTCTTCGCTGACAATCTTGGTAATTGGGCAACGGCGGTAGGCTTCCCGGATAAGGCGATCATCGCTGCGGCAAGGTAAGCCTCGAGAAGGATATTGGAGGGTCAAGAGTAATCGAACCTTTCTTGCGCGACGCGAATCGCTTCTATCAATTCGAAATTTTACGCAATATAACGTTAGAAAATGCTGAAAGATTATATTTTAATTTTGGAAGACAACAATTCAATTTTTTATTTTTATGTAAGTTTTGTTTTTTAATTATGAGTATACGATGTCGCGTAACAAATTATTAAAAATTTTATTTTAATAATTAAAAATTTTACTTTAATAATTATAATTTATAATTTATAATTTAGTAATTATATAATTTAGCTTGATTTTTTAAAATTTGAGAAACTAGATTATCACATTTATCATTAAAGTCTTTAATTTACCAAATAATAAAATTTTATTTTTTAATATATAAAATATATATATATGTAAAAGATTTATTTTCATTAAAAGTTATAATATTATTATACAATAAAACAAAGTTTCTGAAATTGAAATATGATATGTGTAAAAATAGAAGAGAGAATATTATAACGGGATATTGATAG